GAGTTCATCGTATCAGTGATTAAAAACGTAACAAGTCATTTTTTTTGTAACTTCTGCACTATATAACCTTAGGGGAACTTAGCCATTAAATTACTGCTACTTGTCAACAATCCCTACCAGTTTAAAAGTATTCAGGCTGTCACACTTCCAAGATCATGTGCTTCTAGAACAGGGGTGGGCAAACTTTTTGGCTCGGGGGCCGCATTGACTTTTAAAATTTGACAGACGGGCCAGGTCAGCACAAGATTTTTTGGGAATCGCCCCCCCTCTTCCCTCCCTTCTCCTCCTTCCCCTCCCCTCGGAGGCCCTCTGAGTCAGGAGTTGCTACCGCCGGCGCGGCTCCGCGCGACTCCAGTCCCGCGTTGCCTCGGGAAGGGAAAGGCAAAAAGGAAGAGCCGCGGCAGTGCTTTGCAACGGGAGCAGCAGCACCGGAGGCTCAGGCTCAGCGGCTCCTGGTTTTGCCTTTTCCTTCCCAAGGCAACACGGGACTGGAGCCGCATGGAGCTGCGCCGGCGGTAGCAACTCCTGACAGCCCCAGCCGGACACCTGAGCGGAGCCCGGGCGAAACTGCCTCTTGCTGCTGCCGGAGCACCGCCGGGTCACCTCCTCCAAGCAGCCTGCCCGCCCACCGGGCTTCCCCTCTGCCGCGTGGCTCGGGGCCAGGCGCAAGCGCCCGCGAGTTAAAAGGAAGCCGAAAGTTGCTGGGAAGTTGCTCGGGTGCTGGGAGCAGGCTTTTAAAGTGCCGCCCGAGCAGGACTGCCGAGCCGGGAAATGGGGCACCAAGGCAGGGCAAAGCTCCACCAGCAGCGGCCTAGCTTTAGGTGGCTCCAAGCAGCCCGCCCCGCCCACCGGGTGGAACCCTTCCCACTCCTCGGCGGGAAGACACTCCAGCCTGCAAGCTTTGCCTTTGCAAAGTTTAAGCCTGGAAGCCCCGGAAAAAAAGGGGGGATCGGCGGGGACTCACCTTCGGAGAGGTCGCACTCGAAGGTGATTTCGAACTCCCAGCCGAGGCCTTTGCAAATTTCTTTTCTTTCCTACCCCTAGATTGCTCCGCACTGTTTTGCAGCTTTGGGGGCCACGCAGCACAGGGCAATTACGCCACGCCCAGCGATTTTTTTCAGGGGCGGGCCGGATTGGACAGACCAATGGCAGCAATTTTTTTTCAGGGGCGGGCCGCATTGGACAGACCAACGGGCCGGATGTGGCCCGCGGGCCGTAGTTTGCCCACCCCTGTTCTAGAAAGTTATCCAAATGCAGAAACACAGATCCAGTGTTGTCAGGAAGATGTCAGAAGTCCAAATCAAATAGCAGGTAATAGTAAGGATGCTGCCATGAATCTGAAAATAAATTGGCCTTATTGAAGTCATTACTAGAAGATAAAGAACCTGAATCTCTTCAGGTAATTTAACATTTTTCCACAATTCTACGCAATTGGTCTTTTGCACCTGGGAGGGATAGGCATGGTACAAACACTTGGAAGGCATCAGTTGTTTATCTCCCTGAATGCAGTCGTGAATGCGGTCTTCATCCTAGACTCGGTGCTTTTAAAATTAGCTTGCCTCTCATGCAAGCTCTGTCCAAATGTGAAGCTCAAATGTTTGAATGCCCACTGTATTCTCAAAATAAATCACTGGTGTGAACAGGATCAGCACATTGTATAGCTAGTCCCAAAATGACTGTTGTTCAGAAATCTCTACACTTCTTGCAGTTCAAATTCCTGAGAATACAAGGCACCAGTTGACTAATATATATTTTTTTTTTTGGATATCAAATGATATATTTGATTTTTTTAAAGATGCCATGCAATTTTTTCCCCAAATACGTTGAAATGAGCATCACTAACTGAAGAGGTTTAGAGTGTTTCTAGAGTTGGCTTATATTATCCTGTCCCTTTGCCTTATACATGGAAACGTACATGAGGTCCACCATATTCCTCCTGCATCCTTCTTGCAAAAACAGTAGAGCTGTTACAAAGCTGTGTGATCAGTGATAGGCATCCATCAGAAAGCAGCTTCTTCTTGGATAGTTATGGCTTAGGATTACTGTTCTAATTTAATTAGGATGTCTTCATTTCTGTTACTTTTTTGCTGTCTTAAAATTTGTAATAAATTTTTGACCCTTGAAAGAAAAAGGCATTTCCCATATTTCATTGTGCATTTGGGATTATTTTTCACAGAGCAAAATTCAACATTTGTTTTACTGCTGCCATTGGTGGTGTTGCTGAAAATAACTATCATAGTTTAGGTTTGTTCTGTCCCCCGCCCCCATTCCCCAATTTTTGCATATATTTCTGTCACACACACACAAAACTGTCACAAAAAAACTATTTTTTTGCAGGGGTGTCTGCAGAATAGGGTTATAAAAGTGAAAAGGGCTGTCATGAAGGTATGATTGAAGCTTTGCCTAATTTTTCTGTTGAGAAAAATTCTTGTGTTGCAAGTGGAGCTTCAGCTGCAATGTTGGCTTCCATCTTGACTTGTATTTATTTATTTATTTATTTATTTATTTATTTATTTATTTATTTATTTATTTATTTATTTATTTATTTATTATTTTACCCCCAAAACTTTAACCTTAGACTGTCTACTATTGACTTCACCCCTTTCCTAAGAGGTCTGTAGGGGGAGTGCATAAATGCATCAACGTGCCTACCGTCCCTGTCCTATTATTTCTTTTATATATTTTTTTATTTTTCTTATATGTATCCATGTATTCATAACTATGTTTTTACTTATACCTATTATCTTGTAAGCGATTGACAAATAAAAATAAAATAAAATAAAATATTTATTGTGAACCCCTCCAGACAATGTGCTTCAGAGTAATTCAGCTATACAAAATCTCTGTTTGCTTACAGTCTTTATAGCAACCTTTTTCAAAATCCTTTCTCTTTGCTCCACCTCAGTCTCTAAGTGCTACCTTATGTTTTAAGATGCATGCAAGGAGCTAGTGACTGCCTTGTTTAGTGACCTTTCACAATTAAATGAAAAAGTAACGTTACTACCGCGCCTCACATTTACCACCTTTGCAGAAAAGGAAAGCAAGACAGCTGAAGTAACATTATAAGCAGTTTCATTTAGTGGCCACTTCACTTAATGGCTGAGTTTCAGGTACCAATCATGGTTGCTAAATGAGGACTTACCGGTAGATTAAATAGGATATTATATGAGCATTGTATAGATGTTTTTTTTATCAATCATCATACTGATTTTATCACTTACTACAACCTTCTGTGTTATGAAGACATATATAAGTATTAAGTTATATTGTTTGGATTTTTATTTTGTTCTTAGTATATTACTTCATATTATGCAATATTTTTATCATTTTGCTGGCTGAAAAGATGCAGCTCTTTCCTTTGGTTCCATGAATGAAGGAATTATTTCTTTCCAAAATTTGAATAAAATCCTGTGGCTATGCAGTTTCTCACAGCGTTTAGATCTTTTTATTTTTTTGATCTCCACTTCAACATTAACAGACAAATCCCTGAATAAAACATGTGAAAAACCTTGTAGTTGTAAACCGGAAAGGTTGATATTTTTTTTAACAGTGCTTTTTCCAACGCGGACACATTTTCCTGTGGGTAAAGATGCAGAGTTTAAAACCTGACACAACGGTGTATGCTCCAGTTGTGAATTAATTCTAGAACATGTCTCAGGAGACGCATTTTGGCAAAGGAAGCCAAGGCATTAAAAGAAGGCAACTCTTGTGTCTTATTAAATTTGCTTGCAATGTTACCTAGCATTTTATCAGAGCCTGAATAAGCTGGCCTTTAGGATATAATTATCCTTCTGAAAACACACTTGGGATTTGTTCTGCATGTGTTCACTTCAGCCTGGGCCTGCTTCGTGTCCTTTTGCCTCAGACTTCTTTTATCTTCTGATTCCTCCAAACTGCCTCAGTTGCAGTGACCAGTATGGATTCTCCAAATTTATCTGACAGCTGCCGTCTGAATCAGAACTTGCATCCCCTGATAATGCGACAGATTTTCTGAACCACATTTCCTAGCAGCTGCAGCCAATAGTTCAATGGCATCAGAAAAGCTCATGGTTCACACCTGAAGCCTTTCTTTTCAGTACTGTGGGTATAATAAATAGTAAGACTTCCACATTTTACAAAAGCATATTTAGGGTATCTTCTTTCTCTTTGGCTGTTAATTGCAAATAAATATAAAACACACATTATTTAGATTGTAGATTATGAAGCAATGAAACCATTTTGTAGACTGAATCTTTAATAAAACTTTTGTGCTGCAAGCTTCTTTTGCCAAATAAAATGCACAGGTATTAAAGAGAGCTTATATCTGGGCCACAAAGACAGATACAGAACACTAATTCGAATGGTCATCCAGAATCAGATATGCGTGGAAGTAAATACATAATGAGATTACAATTGAAAAGTACTTTTTCATATACAAGTAAACTCTGCAACCATGTTTGTCTAAAATCAAGATATAAAACTCTGGCAATGTGTCAACTCTTCAGCACCATCTAGTGACAAGAAAACAAAAAGTTATTACTCTGCAAGTTTATAAAAAATATTTATATTTTATGTAAGGTTTTAGTCCTTTATTGGATGCTGGTAGACTGACAATTCAGGGATTTTCATTTAGCTCTGTTCACTTGAGCAGCCTCTCATTTAATTTTTATTATGATCATATAGCAAAGGTTATATACAAAGCTTTCAATGTATTAACATATGCTATGCAATAATGTCAGTGAACCATTTCAATCAATGTTCTTTAAAAAGTGCAGTGTTGGCATAGTGTTCTTTTGTACTACCTGATTACAACCACAGCAGATGGGTAAGCCTGTTACAAATGCCACCTAATATTTTTATACTGATAATATGGTCACAGATCGGTAAAAAAAGAATTATATTTTTTACACTCTTCATTTAAATCTGCAGTGTATATGATCTGCCAATTTATCTACGCATCACAAGCATATTCACAGCAAATAAAATATGGAGTGTGGAATACAATCCTATATCTGTTATAGTCTAATCATCTTTAAAACATACACTGAATGGGTGGGACTCAAATACTTAAAATAGTTGACCGCTTACATATTTATTGGGACTAATTTCTTTTTACTAGAATGACCAATCAGATGTTCCTAGGAAGTCAACAAGCTAAGCAATGAAGCAATAATTTATTGCTTATTTTCTAGAATTTTAAGGTTCTTCTAAAGCAGGTGTCAAATTCGTGTCGTCACGGTATCATTATGTGACGTATCGTTACTTTTCCCCCCATCGCTAAACTGGGCATGGGTGTGGCCAGAACGTGAAGCATCCAGCCCACGGGCCACAAGTTGGACAGCCCTTGTTTTAAAGGAACAGTTGGGAATCCAGCCCAGGAGAGCTTTTGTGCAGCTCTGGCAACTGTGTGACAGTTATAGATAGATGTTTCTGGAATAAGATGCCCTGACAACAGTCAATCATACCCACTTGATATTGCAATGCACTCTATGTGCATCTACCTCAGAAGCTGCAGGTTGTACAGAATAGGACGGACAGAATGTTACAAAACGGATCAGCAGAGAAACACCAATTCTGAAGTCATTGTGATAATTGCTGGTAGGCCTTTGGACCAAATAAAATGCTACTGATTACTTAAAAAGATATAGAAAATAGCACCAGGATACTGTGACATTGCTGATTTAATCTGAACCCTGGCTACCAAATCAAGACTACGGCTAAACTCACTGCAGAAATAAGGGGAAAAAAATTGGTCTCAAGATATTGCATTACACAACTTCATTGATCAGGATCAATGTCATTATTGCACATCAAAACAAGAGAACAAAAATAAGCCAAATATGTAATGCAGCAGTTAGTAGCTAGCTAGGATCTTCATTACAAATTTTTTCTCTAAATTGTATAAAAGTTTAAAATAAAAACAACTGTGATGGCCCTTTAAATTCAAATACAATTTGTTATACGTTTTATTTTCAAAATAGAAGAACATTCTCATTAAAGGACCGCCACAGTAATTTTAATGAAGTTATGAAATAAATATGCTAGAGAAATTTCAGTTCACTATAAAATAGTACGGTATAAAAGTTCACAAAAGTCAAATATTTTTTTCTTCTTTTCACTAAAAAAATTACAAATTCTAAAAATTAAAAACAATGTTAAATTTTAAAAAAATGAAAACAATGCTCAGACTCATTTTGCTGGCTATAAAAAAAATAAAATGCTAAATTCTCCTGATCCATATACAATAGAGAAGTAGATTAGCAGTAGATTAACCCTTTCTTTTACATTATGAAACATCAGCTACTGTATCTCACAGGAACAGTCTAGCACACAGGAGTACACAGCACAATTTGGTGTCTTTCGCCTCATATAGGAAGAGATTAATCTGACAAACAAAACGGACCAACAAATGTTACCAACAAAGTTGAATTATTTCGGAGCAAGAAAAATGCAATTAATTAATTCCGCTTCCTACTTTTTAATTCATATTTTCTTGGCTACTATAACAGATAATATATTTGAAATTAAATATAATGTCTATCACACGAATAGGTGTAATCTTTTTTTTTTTAAGTTATGCAGCTTTCATGCATTTGCATTACAAAAACAGTATACATTTCAATCACATTTTTCCCATGTCCTTTTCACACATAGGAAAAATAATTTTAAAATCCCTAATTAAATTTATGTTCTCATGTGTTCTTTTGAAGATTTAAATGCCCAATTTTGTAAAAAACTAAGAACTGGCAATTTATGTTAATCCAGTACATAAATGTTCATTTTGGCTGACATATCTATAATTTGCACAGCAATAAATACAGTTCATGACCTCTTTTCCAATGATCTCAAAAGATATATGCTTTGTCCCTGGTCTGTTGTCTGAAAAAAAAACACAGCCCTTTAAAATCAGACTTGCTTATGGATTTACTGTAGCTTAAAATACAAAAAGTACAAACTATAATTGTTTTGTATGATATTCACATACTGTAAAATATGTACTGTGATATATGTAAAATTCAATTTATAACTTAAAACTTGATTATCATCCTGATCATCCCATGTCTGTAAAAAGAAGATATTTTATGAAAAAAATTCTTTGGGATCAGATCTCACATACATGTTCTTTATAACTAATTTGACCCTTGCATTTTGAAGCGTTTTATGCAGACGGATTATACATTCATTCATTTAGATTCCTAAATCTGTTCTTGTTCCGGCATTTTTAGCGGTGTTCTTTCTCTTCTGGTATTTGCCTGAGAACAATTCTAGGAAGCTATATGCAACAGCATCTTGAGGCATCTTCACAGCCGCGTTTCTTGAACTTCTTCCTCTGTTTCCTCTGGCAAAGCACTGATTTTAGGCCTTGACCTTCGCTTGCTTGAGTTCCTAGGATATATTTGGGAGAGCTTGGCTCCATCGCAAGAGCTGATAGCTTGACGGAAAGAATTCTTTTCACTCAGGAGCTTCTGTATTGATTTATATTGCCTGACTTTATTTTCTTCTATGACCTAATAAATCGGAATGAGAAAATAAAATTTATTTATGAATTGATATTTCCAGGAATCCATTGCTATCTTACAGAATTAAAATAATCAGCAAATTATTTACTGTATTTGTATTATTCCCATTATGCAAGAATATTATTTCATATCTCTACAAAATATACATTTATACACAGAATGAATTAATAACTGCCATAATTAGGCATCTTGGACTATAATTCTATAATTAACTAGGAAACAAGCAACATTAAAGTCAATGAGTCTTTAAATAGATATTTCTATCACTTTGTTGACAATTATCTTCATATTATTTCCAAGAGCCAGACACAGCATTTCTTCCATTCAGCCTGCTATGTTCTTCTTCCTCCTCTTTCTCTTCTCCTCCTCCCTCCTTTTCCTTCTCTTCTTCTTCTTCTTCTCCTCCCCCTGCAATTTTATTTTATTTGAGCGTGGTATCTACCTTATGCATAAGCTAAAGAATGTTAATATAGTAGACTCAATCTTCAGAAGGACTTACTGGTCCATCACATACTATTTTCCCCTTTCCACCATATGTTGAATCTCTCATAAATTGTGGGTTGTGTACATAACAACACTGCATATTAATATGCAGTTTTACTGCAGCTAGTGCCAACTTGCTTCAAGAGAAGGGGAACAGGAGGGGAGGGGAAGGTGAAATGGAAGAAAATACAGTCAGGAAGGTTTTGTTACTGATGAAGAAAATTTCTGCAAGCTTTTCTGTTGATGTCACCTTTAAAGAGTGACTGTGCCACATGACAGGTGGATAGGTGAGAAATTCATTTGGAGGAGACTGTTGAGGGCCCTGACAAACTTGGTATCATTGTTGAAAAATACTTATGGAACGAAGTGCAATTCTTTTCCTTCTGCCAAAATACCTTTATGTGTTAATAAAATTAACACATAAAGTGTTAATAAAAATATGAAAAATATAAAAAAAACACCTTTATGTGTCCATAATTGTGGAAAAATAGAAATAAACATTTGAAATAGGTATACATTAAGCATTCAGCAAACAAACATGTTTGATTTATGATTCTTTTACTGTGAATAAAAGTATGCATGAAACAAGTTGATGAAACAATATGCGCTATTTCTGACTTACACGTATGTTCTTGCTAGCATAATTGTGCAGTTTTTTATAATTGTGCACTTTTTTTTTAAGGAAGGTTGTGTTCAGGACAATGAGTGCTTTAATACAAAACCCGGTGTTTCTTTTTATATATTACTTTTTTTAAAAAAAGTATTTTGAAGATCATCAGTTTCAAGCTAGCAACAGTAGCATTCAAACAAAATTGTTCACTATTTCACTTTTTGTTCCAGATTTTCAATTACTAGCATGCATAGAAATGTTTAAAAATATTGTTCTGAAAGAATGACTATTTAGTTTGCCAGGTGAACTGTAGAGGGAGCAGAAAACAAAACACTGCTTAGTTTCCTATTGTTACTCTGTCATATTCTCCAGTTTGTTCTTCAGATTGTGTCTGGAATCTACTTGTGTGTATTTGGGTTTTGCCATCCTGGCTTCACCCTTTCTTTCTCCTTGGAAGAATGGAAGAAGAGGAAGCTGATTTTACCAATGGAGCTGCCTGCCATTTTTTTCCTCTATTACCCTTCCTTTCTACTGTTTTTACATCTATTCATTCAATTGCTGTTATGCCAACTTGCTCTCAGTCCCTCAGATTTCTGGCTGCCTGTTATGTAAACTGCCAACTTTCCCAATATACTGTATACCTCTCTCTGCCTGAAGCAGGTCACTCTGGGAGGAGGGGTGCTTATCTTGGCATATAGGAGAAAGAAATCCTTCCCAGTTCTTCCTCTCCTATAGAGAACTACCTTTTACCTTTTAAGGGTCTAGGTGAGAAGCAACATATTGGAGCTAGCAAAAGGAGCTACATGAGATTGCTGAGTCTCTAATTAAAGTATTAGAATCTGGAAACTCCAGAGAAGGAAGCAGAAAAACATTTTACTTTTGAGATATTTTATCTCTAAATATTGGGTAAGAAATCTGATCTAGAAATACTACGTTAGATCACTTTTAGTCTGCAAAAATGTGTTTCCCTGATTTCTATTTGGATGTATATTTCCTCTTATCGAAATTCAGTGGTTGTAAGCCTTGGTTAGCTCAGAGCTTTCTTCCTTCTGCATTATCTCACTGGAGATTCTGTTGAAATGCTATCACAGCTCTCTATCGTTAGTTCCTCTACTATTCATCTGTTTGTCTATGAGTGTCAAGATTGAAGCATTGCTTATGCCATTGCAAACATTAGTGCTTTCAAGTTGCCAAAGAAGTAGGGGGGAGGGAAGGGCGGGATGGAATGAAGGCTCCAGACTTCAAGCAGTGGAACTGTGAGAACCAAGGACACATTGACAGTATCTGCCAAGATCAGGGACTTTTCTCATAACAAGATAATGACACTAATATTGGACAATGTGACTTGCACTAATCGAGGGAAGGGGAAATCCATATTGTAATTATGTGGGTTAGCATGGGAATTAGAGCTAGTTTTGCCTTCTTCAGTGCTGAAATGATGTAAGTTTTGGATGCAAACTTTGGAAGATCTCGAAGGTGTTTGCTTTGGTTGGGTTTATCAGTTGGTACGTTGACAATGAGTACTGTACATAAGCTTCAAAAAAGAGTTTTATTTTTCTCTTTGGTTTCTGTTTTTCTGAAAGTAAATTAATTATGTCTACACGTGGAAAGGTTGATCTATTTCTCAAGCAAGAGAAGATAGATTTCCCTAGTCACAGGTCTCATTATACAGAACCAGGCAGTAGACATAAAATTCATTTTGATTTTTATTTGTTTTCATTTTCTTAATGGCTAGGAAAAATAGATTACATAATTCCTACCTATTTTACACACCAGGCTAACCCTGGTGTGAAGGAGGATACCCAGTAAATATGTGTTCCTAGAAGAGTGGCTTCTATTAAGCAGCTATACCAAGGCAAGCAATTAAGCCCAGGGTTTATAGACCCAGAGTGTTTCTGAGACAGGAAATGTAAGGCCCCAAGCCATTCGTTCTTGAGGCAGAGCTTTGCTGCTTCAACGGCCTTCATCACAAGGCATTTTTCATATGGATACACACTGACTAGGAATTATAGTCTAGGAGTGCCAACTTGTGGATTGCTATCTAGCTGTTTGCTATTAGATGGAATCCAAACAAGAATGAGCTTTTCAAACTGGTATTTATACAAAACACAATAAGCCACTTTAGAGATTGAGGAGACTTTACACAGTAGTTTCTGACACTGGGAGAGGTAGTAGTCAGCTGTAAAAATAAAACGAGGCAAAAATGTACTGGCTACAGTAAATTATTTGATATCTCTCAGGATTTACTTTTTTAATCACTGCTCACCAAGTATTGCTGGCATTCTAGCAGAGCTTCTAATCTATGTTCCGATAAAATCACTGTACAGTTTGCAAATGCTTGCTTGAGCGTCTTTTTGATGACTTGGAAGGTCCTGAAAGAGAAACGTTTTTTAATAGGTGAGCAAATACAATATAAAAATGTAGTTAAATGCCAAGATTTTGAACAGACGTTTTTACAATGTTTGTCCACTTTTATTATATTACTCTATGGTGGTTAAAGTTCAGATGCAATATCATAATGATACATACAGTTAAAGTTTGGCCTAACTAGTTACTTAGGTAACTTTCATGGCAAAACAAATCAAAATTAAGTGGGTGCTTATTTTATGTTCCTGTATATATTATGTTTCTTGCCTTAGCCAAAGAAAGTTAGAAAGTTAGTACTTGCTACAAGAAAGAAAAAACAAACAGACTATTGGTTAAATTTGTTTAATAATTATTTTTTTATCCTAAAGCAGGCACTAGATTACAAGGATCAAACAATGATCAGGAATCAAATATCATTACCAAGCTATTTCCCACAGTTTAGTGGAAAGTTGCAATAGTTGCAATAATTAAATTAGCTTACATTATTGTAGTGTTTTTATAACAAGAGAATATTGCATATTGCCCTTTATATTACATATACTGCATTATATTGCAGTCTAACACTGATCACATCTGCCAACCTGCATTGGACTAGCATGGCAGATTATGGTCTATTTCTTCCACATGCCAATACAGCCCTCATTCCCTGGAAGCCCTAGGGCAACTACTCAGGGCAGCGGGAAGACCTGCCCAAAGGCACAAGGTGCTAAGAATCACCAGGTTAAATCAAGATGCCTTTGGACTTTGGACAGTCAACATTCGAACGATGAAAATGGATGTTGACTAGAAGAACTGTTGACTGAACTCAACTATATACACTGGATATCATTATGTGAAACATGATGATAACATGAAAATGTAGTAGAACTTAATAGGACTGGGCATTTACTTTGCACTAGAGGTACTGAAGATAGACAATGTGCTGGAGTTGGTTTTTTCATCAACCAAAAACTGAAAGACTCTGTAATAAAATTTGAAAGTATATCAAACAGAGAATGCTGCCCAATGCATCATTCAATTGAGCAAACAATACAAGCTTACGCGCTAACAATAAGCTATAGTGATGATAAGGTCGAAGAGTTTTGATGATGATGTGGCCTACCTTCAACACAAAGAAAAATGACAATACAATGCAAGAATAGGAAGAACAATACCTGGAGAAAAAGCAACTGGTCCATATGGAAGTGGTGGATGAGATAATAGAGGCGACAGACTAATCGATTTTGCTGAAGGACAGGAACTTTATATCGTGAACTCATTTTACAAGAAAAAATGCTAGCAGTAAATGGACATGGAGGAGTCCATTTGGGTACACAAGTGAAATGGACAACATCAAGTCAAATGATAAAACTATATTCTGCAATTGTACTGTCATCAATCGTTTTAACATTGGAAGTGAGCATAGAATGGTACAAACTAAAGTGAAAATAGACTGATAAAAAGAATGTATAAAAATGATAAAGATGTCACACACAAAAAAGCCCCAAAATAAAGAGTGATAAGCTGTTAGAAGAGAACAGCGATTTTGAGATTGATCTATCAAATTGCTTTGCTCTATTGCAAGATTTGGAAGAGATTAACATTAGGGACCAAAATGAACAAATAGTCAAAAACATCCTTGAATCTGCTACATCTATAGCACCACCAAAAAAAAACAAACACTTTGTACAGTCAAATCTCTGATGAAACTATTGATTTAATGAAAAAATGATGGACAGTGAAGAATACTGGATGTTTCACTAATAAACTGGAGTATGTTTAACTTTGCAAGATCATAAGAAATGTATCCAAGAACAAACACATCAGTTTAACATGACGCTTGTAAAAAAAAACAATTGAAAAAAACCAAAGGGATTGATAGAGAAAAATGCAAGTTTATAAATATAAGAAAGAAGGATTTTGCGTTAAAATGTGAAGATGGCTCTGTGTTGAGGAAGTTTTAGAAATAATTGGGAAATTCTCCTGAGAGCTATGCAGCAATCAAGAGTAACGAAAGTAACAACACCTACCCATGAAAGAGGAAATGCCAGACATCCTAGTGGAGGAAGAATCAAGTGCCATAAAATCAATGAAAAATGGCAAAGCTTCAGGAAATGACTGTTATGGTTGAAATGCTCAAAGCATTTCATGGAAAAATGCTGAAGTGATTTTAGTGCACAAAAAAGGGACGTGAGATTATTTAAAGAGCTATGGCCCACTAAGCCTTCTTTCAGTCATCTACAAGGTTTTTCACCAAGATAATAGCAAGAGGAATAGTGAGAACATTAAATGACGCACAGCCAAAGGAGCAGGCAGAGGGCAGAAGTAGCAATAGAACAATGGATCACATCCAGGTTGTTCAGCAAGTCATTGAAAGGCACTATCAGCCGGATCACCAATATGGCGTTTGCAGCTTGCTTGCTCTCGGCTGCCGTAGAAACAGGGTGGGCTGGCTTAGGCATTTGGGATGGGGAAGCAAGCTATTGTGAAGAGTTCCCATAAGAATTGGGAGGTTTTCACTCATGAACTATGGTGTTGCCGAGTGGAGTTGTTTAGACATTTTCAAAGCCAACTTTCCTGGGACTCTGGAGGCACACAATACCTGCAGAAGAGCCTTTCCCATAACATCCTATTGGACCCTGATTAGTCTTTCTGTGCTGGATCCTGTGGGAAATGTTTGGAGGTGACTTTCAGATCTTGCCTTGCTTTTTCTGCTATCAGTTCATTCTTAGCAAAAGTACTTCCTCTCTAAATCAATGGATTTGGGGTTTTCTTTCGTAGGATTAGGATAGCGGGGAGACCTGACAGGTATGAGTACACCATGCCGCTGTGCATGGCTTTGATTGACTACAAAAAGGTGTTCGACTCAGTATTCCAGCAAACAATAATTAATGCATTGCTCAACCAAGGCATGGACACTGCTTGCATAAACTTACTACAATCAATATATGAAAAAAAAAACAATGGCGGCAATTTGCCTTAATGATCTTAAAGTGGAAGTCAACATACAACAAGTATATGATAAGGTGATACAATCTCACCTATCCTTTTCTCAGCCTGCCTTGAAGAAATATTTCACAAACTAGACTGGGCAAAAGATGGAATAAAAATCAATGGCGCCTATTTAAATAACTTAAGGTTTGCAGATGATGTTGTTCTCTTCTCACAAGACCAGAAAAGATACAAAGACACATAAAAGAGCTGCACAAAGCAGGGGAACCATTTGGCTTAAAAGTAAACCTGAAAAAAAAAACAGGTTCATATACCTTGGCCAACAGATTTCAATGGAAGGTGGTACAATAAAGGAAATTGAACAGCGTGTTAAATGTGATTGGCAAACATTAGACAAGCTAAGTATAATTTTCAAGAACAACCTCCCCCTATGCCTGAAGAGCAAACTTTTAATCAGTGTGTGCTACCTGCTCTAATATATGCAAGTGAAACATGGACAATCGATACAAAAGCTACGAGTGGCACAAAGTACCATGGAATTACAAGACAAGGTAGAAAGACCCTGCACATGAATTAGACAACAAATGAAATGTTTATTATATCATTAAGGGAGTAAAAGAATTGAAATGGAAATGAGCTGGTCACATAGCAAGAAGAACTGGTGGCAGGTGGACCGAGACAGTCATAGAATGGATCCCACTTGATAAAAAAGCTTCCATGAAAGAGACCTAAAACAAGATGGATTGATGACATCAGCAAGAATTGCGGCCCCAATTGGCAAAAGAAAGCTCAGGACAGTATTGGTTGGAAACATGCAGAAGAGGCCTTCATCCTGCAGTGCATAGACAATGACTAAAGTGATTGCATACCGGCCTTTATTATTGAAAATTATTACACTATTTTAAAGCTTGAAGAGTACCAAATATTACTTCTGGGCCTAACTAAATAGAAGTTTAGTTTTAAGAAGATACTTGTTCAATTTCTGCCTATCATCTAAATGTTACGATCACAATTGAGCCCGTAATTTATGTTGCTAAGTGAGAAATTTGTTAAGTGAGCCTTGCCTCATTTTACGACTTTTCTTGTTACATTTGTTAAGGGTATCGTAGCAGTCGTTAAATTAGTAACACGGTTGCTGTGAATGTGGCTTCCCTATTGACTTTGTGTGTCAGAAAGTCACAAAAGGGGATCACATGACTACATGATAATGCAGCCGTCATAAATGTGAACTCATTGTCAGTAAGTGTGAAAATGGTCATAAAGTCCCTTTTTTTCAGTGCAATTATAACTTTGGACGGTTCCTAAGCGAACTGTGGTAAGTCAAGGACCACCTGTACAGTATTTTTGTGGTACTTACTTTTGATCAAGATGAGCACTTGGTTCATCAAGAAGAAGAATTTTAGCTTTGCTGAGAATTGATCTGGCAAGACACATCAACTGCTTATGTCCATGGCTGAGGACATAGCCACCATCAATAAGAACAAAATCAAGTTGACCTGGGAATTGCTCTATTACAGATTTCAGTCCAACCTGAAAGCATAACAATTGGACAAAGAGAAGGGAGAAAAAGAAACATTTTGTATCACACAAATGGCTTTGTTTTATTTCAGCAATTAAAGCCTTGGAGTATTATTCATAGAGCAATGTAATGTTTCATATGCCACGTGAGATAAAGCCAGTACAGGATTATTGACATAAAACCTTTGGACCACATGGAACTCATTTAGCATGTTTGGGAATTAACACAAAGCTATAATTTGTTATCTTCATTCTGACTTGTTTGTACTTCTGGTGCCAATTTCTGGTTGATTAGTACTCTGCACTATGGAGTTTATAATTTATCTGGACTTAGCATCTTGAGTTACAGAAATTCTATTTTATATGCTGCTTTATTCTATACCTCCTTAACTATAATAAATAAACATGGCTTGAAACAGAAGTACTCTCACAGCAAGGAAATGTTTGTTGTTGGCACTTTAACAATTCCCCCCTCCTTGCATCTCCCTTAATGGATTCATTTCCCTGTTCATTTCCCTGAAGTCACCTCCGTTGTTTTGCCACGATTTTTTTAAAAGAGACATAACGGGTTTGTATCTGTATCTAATAAGGAATGCATATTAAATACAAATCTTTAGTCTAAACAACGTATGAGAATAATTCAATAGGGGCAATTCCATAATCAGGCATAAAACCACAATTACACAATCCCAGCATTACCAGGCTATCATTTCCTGCTAAAATCTGTTTTGAAATACTTCACCCAAGTATTTTGTGTATATAAAGGAACCATACTAATCAAGTTTTAGTACTGAAAAAAAGTGAATATTAACTGAAAGAATGACAATAGGAAAAAGATATTTATACAGGGGAGTTTGACAGAAAGGTTTGCCAAGTTAACAAGCCTTTGTGGGGAATGCTAACAATGACAGAAGCAACACTTCAAGATATTCTTTCTTAAAGCTGAGAGCAGTCAAGTATTTAAAAGAACAGGTATGCTTATTTTTCTCTGACTCATTTCATTTTCTGCTAAGTCCAACCAAATGGTGGTCATGGCCACCCAATGCATATGCAAAAATAGGGGATTAATTGCAGAGTTTCAACCACCTCTTAAAATAACCCCTCCAGTAATCATTTCTATAACCCTTATAGAAGACCCCAAGAAGATGGGATTGGATTTTTGTGTCATTTTTAAAAAGATACTTTTGAGTTGGGATAATAGGTAAATAGTGCCCTTAAAAAAGTATCACTGTAGCCTTTTATTATCCCTGAACACTGGTCTCAAATTAATTCCCAAACCACCAAAATAAAAAAGTCACCTGTTTCAAAAGAAAACAGATTAAAAAAAATGTTTTATCACCAGAGGGAGCCGTTACAATGTAAAATATTACATCCTTTATTGATGAAGACAAAAAGATGCATTTTATTTTGTGGTTTTACTTTCACTTCCTTCAAATAATGTCAAAATTAAAATATAATTAAATAAGGAAAGTGAAGATATTGGTTTGTCCCACAACGACCTGCTGCCCTGAAGCCAAGACAACGGTGCATTTCTGGACTCATTTCAGTCTTTTTTCGGGCTTAGATTTAGGACAGAAGTGCCTGTCCTAAAGTATGATAGCCTTGATAAATTATCTACACTTAGCAATTAATAGACACTGAGCTAGAAAGCTGACAGCCTGGGTTCAAGACCCTAGTGCCATTACTTGCCTCAGCCAACCTAGCAGTTTGAAAGCACCACCACCTGGACAGGGGAAACCTTTATCTTTACCTTTAGGACTTAGGCAGAGTGTTATAATAAACACTATATATAATTAAAAAAAATACAAGAATATTTTGTTATTCTGAATCTCAGCAGTACTCAATGGTCCGAACTATGCTACTTTTGAGACTGCTGATTGGGAATAAACTGGGACTCCTATATTCTGGTTTTTTTTGCATTTCCATGCCACCTTTCCTCTGATAATTCAAAAACTCATACATCTGGCAAGATGAGTAGTTTCCTTTCAGTCACACTACATGTGATTTTTTTTTTTTATTATGTCCTTGTAATTTTCTTGGCAGCAATGCAGCAATGCTTTGCCATTTCCTTCTTATGGGTTTTTTCTCTTTAATTCCCAGTCTATAAGCCTGAAGGATTAATTAAGACTGATTCTCCTTCGTTACCAAGCACAGTCAAAGTCCTCCTAACCCTAATTCTTCTGAGATACATGAAAGGAATCTCTAAATTTCACCCTTACCACAACCTTGTTAAGATAGACAAGAGTTGAAATAAAATTACTCCTTCAAGGTCATCGAGTAAACTAAGTCAATAAGAACTGAATAAGTATCTGATCCAATTGCAATATCCAATTGTGGTGTTTTTTTCCTTCAGATGCTTTTGTTTCGCTTCCGAACACTGGCGCGCTTAAGTTGTCCTTAGCTCTTCTGAAAAAATAATAGCCATAGCATTGGCAATAGCACTTAGACTTATATACCGCTCCTTAAGTGCTTTACATCACTCTGAGCAATTTAAAATGTCAGCATATTGCCTCCAAACAATCTGGTCCTCCTTTTACTGATTTCGGAAGAATGGAAGGCTGAGTCAACTTGGAGCCGGTCAGGATCCATCTCTTGGCTATGGGCAAAGTTAGCCTACAATACTGCATTCTAACCACTGCGCCACCACAGTGCCTAATAATGCAAAATCTATTGTGGTTTACCACTTATTACACTGGAAATGAAATAGTTGCAGGTCAATGAATGATAGCAGTGTTTCTTGGCCATTTCAAGTTCATTCAGTAACACATATACATGCACACTGTCATCTGTGGCTATTCTGTTACTGTCTCTCTAAAGAAATGAACATAAACAAACTGTGTTGGTGATCCATCTGAATTGGCAGATAGCAAATATACTGCAAGTGCTGTAACTATTTGGATCTTATTTAGCGCAAGACTGAAATAAGAAAACAATGGGCAAACGGGAACAGCCCTCCCACTTGGAAGGGAAGGTAAATTTTAAATAAAATGCTGTTTGATTCAGATCTCTTTTCTAAAGAAACAAACTAATAATATTATCAGCTTATCTTATGGTAAAATGAGTAATAAGAGGAAAGGAATCTGAGGCTTAAAGAGGATAAGCAAAATCCTACAGACAGAACTGTTCTGTTCTTGTTCAGCACAATAATTGGCAGATGGTTTTCCTGCCAGCTAGTGATGGGCCGAACTTGTCATAGAACGATTCTTTTTTCCCCATGAGTAATCTGTTTTGTGGCATATATAGTGTTAGTCCTGGAAACTCTTTCAACACCACTGTACCTGTTCCACTGTTTTGAAGATGATTAGAAAATTATAATCTGTTCACATTGTCATTTAAGTTTATGCTATGGTACCTGATGACTTCCACTCTATTTCCAGCCCAAATGCTGATGGTTTAAAAAAAAAAGTTTGAAACTTTTATATTTCAAGGATCACCTATCTATATCTACCTATTGGCTAGTTTGTGAATTGTCATCATCTTGGCATATTAAATGGTAAAGAGATCACTTAATAAAGAGATGCCTTAATTAAGCTGTGTATAATTTTTGTGTGTGTCTTATTTTCCAATGAGTTTTAAGTGTTTTCAAAATATTAGCATGTTAGCTCTATTTTATATAATGTTTCATATCTTATCATATACAGAATATTCAAATGTACAACTCCAGATGAATTCAGCTGGAGAATAATATAAAACATATTATAAAATAAACATTATAAAAGCATATTGGAAAAATTCAAGACAAATGTCATTTTGAATATTGTTTTATTTCTAACTTTATACTAGTCATGGAAGCAATAAGTTTCCCAAATGTGATATAATACCTAGGAGTGCTCAAACATTTTAAAATTATCTACTTTTCAGCTTTCACTAAACAGAATTCCAGTTTTTATTCCGCAGGAGCATACCTTATGATGAAAGTTGATTCATAATTCTAGTTTTGACTTTCTATCATGGTTTGATTTTACTCATTCCTGAATGTATCCTTACAATCAGAGCATTGTACCCTGTTTCCCCCAAAAAAGTAAGTCCTAGCTTGATTTTTACATGTGCACCCAATACAAGCCCTACCCCCTCCCAAAATAAGCCCTAATTAAGATCCCGCCCAGTCCAGAGTGCACAAAAATTAAGCTGGGGTGGGGATGAGGGGATAGAGCTGCCCTACTACTTACCTTTGGACAGTTGTAGTCAGGCCTCGCATACCTCAACACCTGCCCCGCCAGCCCATTTCTTCTGCAGCCAGCAAGGCTGGCAAGGCTTTCCTGAAGGCCTCTGTAGCTGGTAAGAAAGCTCTGGATCGATCCAGAGCTCTGTTATCGGATGCAGAGGTCTTCAGGAAAGCCTTGCCGGTTGCAGAAGAAGTTCCTGAAGGCCTCTGACAGCAAAAAGGAGGCCGGGGCTGACGCGCACAAGTGAGGTTAGTCAGAGGATGACATTCCCCTGAAAATAAGGCCTGGTGCCTTTTTTGGTGACCCCCCCAAAATATAAGACAGAGTCATTTTCAGGGAAACACTGGTACATTGACACAGCTCTTTGCCACATTTCCAAATCTAGCTTTAAACCCAATAAACAAACAAATGTAGGCTACAAAGACAATGCAAAAGTAAGCAGGCAAGAATAAATAAACCCATCGAGGCAGTGGAGATTCTAACATTGTAAACTTTCAAGCAAACCAATAAAATCATTTAGTGATTTCCCTAATTATATGTGTCGTTTGTTTTTTTCCAAGGGAGTGCATATTCTAAGGAACAAGGAGAAATCTATTTTGTAAACTGTCAGATAGGTGACCAAGTTCTTGGGCAAATCTTCTCCTATTTATATGTTTGCTTATTTACATGAAAATTATAACCCATGTTTCTAAAATGGATGCTCATGCATCCATTATAAAGATCTTGCTTAAAAGTTAAAGAACAAAGGTGAACATTTCCTACCTCTTCAGTAACATTCCATAGTTCTTCATCAGTCCATTGTCCATAAGGATCCAAGTTTTTTCTAAATGATCCAGAGAATATAAACACTTTCTGAGGAAGCAGGGAAAAAAATGAAACAAAAATATTGTTAAAACAATGTCACCAGCTAGAAATAAGAAATATTTTTTAGTTTTCTCTGAATTAACAAATCAGATATTTGAATGTGTTGATAGTTTTCCTTTCCACAAATAATGACAACTTTCTAAGAAGTACAAAGAGAGATTTGTTTTCCTTGAATAAATACTATAGATAAACATTATGAAACATATCTAATAAGTACCACTGAGTTCACTGGTGGTTTTCTATTTTCTATTCTCAAAATAAATGAAGATATTTCAGTCCTGTATAGTTTTAGTTTTGTATCAATATTATACTTCTATACTATCTAGAAATATATAGGATATAATAGCATAGCATAGCAAACTGTACAGTACAGTAGAGTACAGTATATGATTATACTATAATTGGCTGATTTCTCTAAACATGGCAGCTAATCAGAGCTAATCATAAATACAGTAACTTCAGGAAAGGAGACAGATTGTTAAGAAAAAGAAAGCACAGAGACGACAGCAAGTTACTACCGTATAGCCAAGACAACTACATAGGTCACAAAAATTTCAACTTGAAGAAGACATTACCTGTTCACTTTTATTGGTTTTAGGTAATAAATTACGTTGTTAATTATTTTAAACAGTAAATAATTAAGAATCTAGTTGGCATTGACTATTGGGTCATTTTGTGATGTGGTAAGGTTCTACTTTGATTTCTTAACTGATCTTCCCTACTAAAACGACTTCTCCTTGGCAGATTTAATGGAAGCGGAAACTTCCGCTTCTTCATTGTTTTGCCTAATTCCAGGAATTAAGATAGATTGGTTTCCATACATTTAATGGCTGTGCCTGAGACAATTATTTATTGGCAAGTATAACTTCCAATCAGATCATCAGCCCAACCCTGCTCAGCCTGAGGGGCACTAATTTGAGATTAGTGAGAGATTATCACAGAGATAATCTGTATTGTGGCACCTCGATTGTGGTGTTACATCCTCCAAGAGGTGCCTAATAGGTCTCCATTCTCTCAGACCTGAGCTGCTATGATCTTTTTATTTTGATGAGTTTTTGCCTTTTGTCATTCATTTTCTTTTTTTGCTAAGAGATTTTACTGTATTTAGTTGTATACTTGGGCACTGGGTGGGATGAAAAACAGCATGTAAATAATTACATACTATATATAAATACTACATAAATAAAATGGTAATTTTTTTACTGAGGAGGGAAGGTATGTTTGTATTTGTCACATTAACATTTGCCATTTGACAACCATATTTAATCAAGCATGTACATATTCAAAGCACTTATTTGCAATAGCAGACTTGCAAATCAATCTATGCCTGTTGGCTTAATGTAAGAAACTTTATTTTTTCAAGTATAGATGCATAGAATTGCAGCCCTAGATTAATACTCTAAGACAGCTTTCTAAATTCCCCTCAAGATAAAGGAATGGTTCAAGGCCCACAGACCCTGCTCAAGCAATATCATATACCTATCCAACATCAGGAAACAAACACTTCATGAGAAAATGGCAGGAAAGCCTTTCTTTGATCTCTGCAGGATATTCAAATTATCCTATGGTTCCTGAGAATAGGTCCTAAGAACTTCAGCCAATTATGAAAGAGAAATGCTTCAAAGAAAAGAGCACATGTTCTTCTTTATTAAGTTGTATGGAACATTATTTGAAAATCTATTCCTAGTTAGAGAAAAATAACTTGCCTGAGGCAGGGCCTTGTTGATTAAGATCTTTGTTTTCTTATGCTTCTATAGGTTTCTTTAACTAAATGGAATTAGCAGTGTTCTCTGTGATAATAGTTTCTTGAGATTAGTGGGTGTGGTTGTACTAATACAATAGAGAAACTATGTCTGGCATAGTTTACACTTGGCTAGGTTTGTGAAGATCAATTAAATAGTTTGCAGTCCTATAAAGATCATGAAATTTAACTGAACAAACCAGTTTTTTTAAGAAAAGGAAGCAATAGCTTCATAATACCTACAATATCTCTTACCATTAGTTATCTAGTATGCACGAGGTGATGTACACTGCTCAAAAAATAAAGGGAACACAAAAATAAGACATCCTAGATCTGAATGAATGAAATATTCTTATTACTTTGTTAATTACATAGTTGAATGTGCTGATAACAAAATCACACAAAAATTATCAATGGAAATCAAATCTAGCAACCCATGGAGGTCTGGATTTGGAGTTACACTCAAAATTAAAGTGGAAAAAACACTACAGGCTGATCCAACTTTGATGTAATGTCCTTAAAACAAGTCAAAATGAGGCTCAGTAGGGTGTGTGGCCTCCACGTGCCTGTATGACCCCCCTACAATGCCTGGGCATGCTCCTGATAAGGTGGCGGATGGTCTCTTGAGGGATATCCTCCCACACCTGGACTAAAGCATCCCCCAACTCCTGGACAGTCTGTGGTGCAATGTGGCATTGGTGGATGGAGTGAGACATGATGTCCCAGATGTGCTCAATTGGATTCAGGTCTGGGAACAGGTGGGCCAGTCCATAGCATCAATGCCTTTGTCTTGCAGGAACTGCTGACACACTCCAGCCACATGAGGTCTAGCATTGTCTTGCATTAGGAGGAACCCAGGGCCAACCGCACCAGCATATGCTCTCACAAGGGGTCTGAGGATCTCATCTCGGTACCTAATGGCAGTCAGGCTACTTCTGGCGAGCACATGGAGGGCTGTGCGGCCCCCTAAAGAAATGCCACCCCACACCATTACTGACCCACTGCCAAACCGGTCATGCTGGAGGATGTTGCAGGCAGCAGAACGTTCTCCACAGCGTTTCCAGACCCTGTCATGTCTGTCACATGTGCTCAGTGTGAACCTGCTTTCATCTGTGAAGAGCACAGGGCGCCAGTGGCGAATTTGCCAATCTTGGTGTTCTCTGGCAAATGCCAAACATCATGCACGGTGTTGGGCTGTAAGCACAACCCCCAGCTGTGGACGTTGAGGCCTCATACCACCCTCATGGAGTCTGTTTTTGACCATTTGAGCAGCCACATGCACATTTGTAGCCCTCTGGAGGTCATTTTGCAAGGCTCTGGCAGTGCTCCTCCTGTCCCTCCTTGCACAAAGGCGGAGGTAGCGGTCCTGATGCTGGGTTGTTGCCCTCCTACGACCTCCTCCACATCTCCTGATGTACTGGCCTGTCTCCTGGTAGCGCCTCCATGCTCTGGACACTACGCTGACAGACACAGCAAACCTTCTTGCCACAGCTCGCATTGATGTGCCTTCCTGGATGAGCTGCACTACCTGAGCCACTTATGTGGATTGTAGACTCAGTCTCATGCTACCACTAGAGTGAAAGCACCACCAGCATTCAAAAGTGACCAAACCATCAGCCAGAAAGCATAGGACCTGAGAAGTGGTCTGTGGTCACCACCTGCAGAACCACTCCTTTATTGGGGATGTCTTGCTAACTGCCTATGCTTTCCACCTGTTGTCTATTCCATTTGCACAACAGCATGTGAAATTGATTGTCAATCAGTGTTGCTACCTAAGTGGACAGTTTGATTTCACAGAAGTGTGATTGACTTGGAGTTACATTGTGTTGTTTAAGTGTTCCCTTTATTTTTTTGAGCAGTGTATTTTGCTTTCCTAAAACAGATGAATTTCCTAATTGTACTGCTCAGTTTGCAAAAGGAGACCTTGTAAAATATTCCATTGCTATTCTGAATTTAGGATATAATTTTTCATTTAGTTTCTTAATCTGTTAAAATCTATTTGTAGTTTCTGTTTTGAATATTTCACATTTTTTTACATTTATATTAGGTTATATTTTGTAACATTTTATTCTTGCTACCACACTTCTAAGGAGAAAACTCCTTTCTCATTTCCTTTTTTACTCAAGGCTATCTTGGATTTTAGAAAAGGCCAAGTCTATTTACATAATTTCTTTGTTCTCTTTCCTTTGAATTTACCTACTTACTTTTTCACTCCTGTTCCAATATATCTTAGTAGTACTGCATCTTTCTCCAATCATGGTAGACTATTAAGTCTCTCAGATGGAGCTTAAGTCAGATTGACCATTATCTCAACACAAACATATATTGTTTAAAATTCTTCCTGTTTGCTCTCTTCAAGATGTTGGTTATGGTTACGTGCTTGTATCTCATGCATGCTGTGAATCATTCTATCTAGCCCTACCCTTGATTGCTGTTAATAGTCCAACCTTTTGACCACTAAAATCTCAGCAGGATATGCCTTCTATTATTGTTGTTGTGATTTCCTCTCCTTTGTTTGCATTGCCTATTTGATTTAGATTTATTTATTAATAAATGTCCAACTCCGAAAGATATATGAAAGACATATAAAATAAATAGTGAAACCCAACAGATAACATCAACCAAAGGGGGAAAAAACCCCAAACATTTCTCATCAGCAAAGAAAAAATAGATATGCCCACAAACCTATATTAATTCAGATCCTGGGAGAAAATCCAGTAGCAAGGTAGAAATATGAAAAATCACTATTAGTACCTTCTAGGAAGATGGGAGTATCAAGTTAGAGAGAGATGCCTATGATATGCTTCTTACCATTTCAAAATTTAAAACAATTATTGGTTTTTGCTCTTGCAAATTTCCTTAACACTTCATATATGCAAATTAGAAATAAGAGCCATGGCTTTGAGTTACATAAAGTTTATCAGAATTAAAATGCCATATTTTTACATCCTTGTACTAAGCATAATTGCACTTCAATCTTCACGGAGAAGATATAATGTAGCGCAATTAATTAATCATAATTAATCAGCTGTAAAACTAAATAATGTCACCATGTAAGTCTTCGGACTAATTATTCATTAATATTTGAATCACAAATATTTTGTACTGTTTCATCCCAGATGGCAAATCTTGAGGATTGAAGATAAGCTTCGCAAACCAAGGGGTTGGTTTTGCATGAGTGGTGGACAAGTGTGCGTGTGACCAGGTCCATTTGCACAAGCAGAGGGCATTCGCATCCACTGCTTATGTAAATGGAGCACTCACATGTACTTATGGTTGCCCGATGCTTCCATGACCCAGTTCCAAACATTAGTGGGCCGTGGTCTGGGGGTTGGAGACCCCAGTCTTAAAAGCCATGACAGATCAAAATGACATCAGGCATGTCATGACATAATAATACCATTTGTGCAATGCAATTCCTCCCTCCCCTACTTGCTATTTGATACAAACTGGAGCACAACATATGAAAAACCAGAGTTTTTCCACCTATTTAGTTGAGATGTTGACAGAATTGAATCCAGCTGCAGTTATCTGTCTGTCTGTCTATTAATTATATTCTCTCTCTGTGTGTGTGTGTGTGTGTGTCTCTCTCTCTCTCTCTCTCTCTGTCTCTCTGTCTCTCTGTCTGTCTGTCTCTCTCTCTCTCTCTCTCTCATCTTCTATCATTATCTAATCTATTATATCAGTTATCAAAGCCTGTGGCCAGTCTAGCATTTTCATTCGGTTTTATAAATTTTTGTAGGAGAGAAAAGAAAAATATAGAAACATAAAGAATAATATTAATATTATTATTAATAATAATATTATGTTAAAATAAAAAATACTTTTCTTTGGTGATTTTTGTTTGTTTGTTGGCTTGCCCTCCAATGTTAAGATAGGGTAATCAGGATCATTTTAAATTCTTTGGATTTCCAAGAGACTAATTCTTTATTTGATTAGATATGTACAGGTAGTCTTCAACTTATGACCAGTCATTAACAACTGTTCAAAGTTACAAGAAAGTTTTAAAAAGCTACCTACTGTCCTCGAAGTTACAACTGTCCTAACCTCAACCTATGGTCATGGGATCACATTTGAGACTTTGACAACCAGCTTGCATTGACCAGTTGAAGCATTCTGCAGTTAGGTGACTGCAATTTGTGACACAGTATTTTGGATGTCAATTGGATATGCTGGATTTGCTTAATGTCCATGTGGTTTGCTTATTAACTATGGTCACTTACTTCAGGACCATCATAAAACAATCATAAAATTGAATCCAGTCACAAGGTACCTCAACATATAACTACAATGACTTACAACCAAAATTCCAAGTTCCATTGTGGTCATAAGCTGAAGACTACCTGTATTCACAATGAGAAATTATGATGAAATACAGCTTACAAGTGAAAATACTTTTTTCACCCCAGAAGTGGAATAACTGTTTTTATTCTTTCAATAAAGCACTACTTTAATTATTCACTCAAGGAAGGATAAAGGTCAATTCAAGCATTTAACAAATATTAGAAATATATCTTCTTTTTAAAATATATTAGTAAGTAATAAGAAAACAACAATTTTAAAGGAACAGAGTATGTTATTAAGAAATACATCTTAACAAACATAAATTCTATCTATCTTTTAGTAACTTTAATTACTTAACAATATGCAGAATTGGGAAAGATTCCCCAGTTAAGAAAACAAGCAGAATCGGAAAATAATCACCAAACTAAAACTGCATCCCTGTTGAAACCGAATGGAAGTGTCTAATTGGCAACAGATGCAACAGAACAGAACAGAACGAAACAGAATAGAATGTAGTTTCTGTATAGGAAATTTAAAATAACGAGACACAAATAATCCCAATTCCCATTCTGTTTGGGGTAGGAAAATGGAAGTTATGAACTCCACAATTATTGGATTATACCTTTTATTATTCCTGGACCACTGATAATACTTGGTGGAGCCAGTGGAAGCTCAACCATATGCCTGTTATTACAGAGAAAATCCTATTATGCACAACTTTTTCTTCAATGAGTCTTGAGAGATTTATTAAAACAGTTAATTTCATCAGATCTAGGAATGAATTAAATGATGAAAAATGAACCACTTCCTAATCCAAAATCCAATCAGAAAATAAACCACAAAGAATGAAGGGAGAGAGAACACACTAATGAAAGACTGACTTTAGAGGCAAGGAATGTTCATATTCTCTAAACTTTAGAATAAAAGGAAGTTTAACTCTTGAAATTAAAGAATGCTGTTTTTGTTGGGTGTTCTGCAGTGAAGATGATAATCCACATACCAGTTCATTCTAAAAGAGTGAGAACCTTTGACCAATGATTTCAATTATTGGCAGGCACTCTATATTCATATGAACAACTAAGTTCAGTTGAAATTAATAGAATAAGACAGAATTAGGGAGCAAGGATATTTAATGGGTTGTGATGGTCTCTTGGCGGCTCTTTTTATGTTCATGGAGAAATCATCAACAACAGGTGGAAGAAAAGATCTTGTTAATTACAGATCAGTTCAGTAACTTGACATCGATGCCAGACAAAATATTTGAACATTAAGTAGGAATGAGCTTATCCCGAATAAATTATGCCAAACCAAACCAATTTCCTTTTTTTGATAAAGTGATCAATTTACTTGACCAAAGGAACATGATGGACAAGGTATATATACTTTGAGTCCAGCAGTCTCTCATGAGATTCCAGTAAAAAAAAAAAAAAAGATATGACAAAATGTGGATTGGATTTCACTACTGGTAGATGAATACCAAGCTAGTTGAATCATCTCAACTAAATACTGTAATAGTTGTTCTGTGCAAAGATGGAGGGAAATGTAGAATGACATAAGATTCAATAACATGTCATTTATTGTTCAACATATTTGTCAAATGACTTGGATTAGAAAATATTATCAAATTGGCAGTTAATCCAAATATGGATTAGAAAATATTATCAAATTGGCAGATGACACAAAAATGGGGGGAATAGGAAACAGCTTAGATGCCAGTATCATGATTCAGGGAGAAACTAACAAGATAACTTCCAACAAAGAGAAATGCAAAAGTTTACATTTTTAACATTAATCTTATTCCCTGGAATATAGGATCCTGAAGATCCTGAAGAAGGACCTTCTTGCTTATTGCTTCATAATTCAACAGTGACTTTAAAGCCTATTATTCATGCTTGCTCGAAAATATTGTATGCAATTTGATTGTATCCTCTCCTTTTAATTAATTCTTGTATTCAATTCAGCTTATTGTCATCATAGCTGATTTCAAGGAAAGTGCTCTGTAAAAATGCATGTATGTGGGTTTAATCTATTTTAGTGGGGGATAAATAAAATAAAGTTTAAGACAAAGTTAAATATATTTATAAAACAACCTAACTAACCACTTTAAATGAGGTCCAAGATGCAGCCTATATTAAATTGTAATATAGACACTAAAAATTTACTAAGTAAGACAACATCTAAAATTACAACAAAGTGACTCCTGTACTTGAGCAATTCCTTTCACTTCTGTGTTTAACTGTTAACATTGTGAGCTAATCTTAGCTAAATCTCCAAAAGCTAAGAGGGGTCAAAGTAGGTGATTACTTTGAAGGAGATCACCAGAAATCTCATAGCTGTAAGAAAGACTAAAAAACTTAGATTAGAATATACATAACATAATATACATAACATATACATACAAAACATTTGCTAGACCAATACTCGAATACAGCTCATCAGTCTGGAACCCACATTACGTATCTCATATTAACACAGTTGAGAAAGTCCAGAAATACTTCACAAGAAGAGTTCTCCACTCCTCTACTCGTTGCAGAATACCTTATGCCACCAGACTCAAAATTCTAGACCTAGAAAACCTAGAACTACGCCGCCTTCGATCCGATCTAAGTATAGTATCTAAAATCATACATTGCAATGTCCTACCTGTCAATGAATACTTCAGCTTCAACCATAACAACACAAGAGCACACAATAGATACAAACTCAAGGTTAACCGCACCAAACTTGATTGCAGGAAATACGACTTCAGCAACAGAGTGTTCAATGTCTGGAATATTCTACCTGACTCTGTGGTTTCTTCCCCAAACCCCAAAAACTTTAACCTTAGACTGTCTACTATTGACCTCACCCCTTTCCTAAGAGGGCATGCATAAGTGCACCAATGTGCCTACCGTCCCTGTCCTATTGTTTCTTTTTTTATTTTTCTTATATGTATCCATATATTCATAACTATGTTTTTACTTATACCTATTATCTTGTAAGCAATTGACAAAAATAAATAAATAAATAAAAATACAATAAATAAATGTTTTTCACTGAGCAGTTAAACTGTATATCATATTGATTTATGTCAAACTGGAAGGGAGGACCAAAGCTGAGGATTAGAAGATCCTTCAGCCCAGAGGTAGAGAGAGATATATGTTGTTTGTAATTTTGATTGTAATTTAGGAAATTAATGGCTTATATTCAATCTTATATGATACATCTTTGCCTTTTCGCTACAATATCATTTTGAAAATCATGTGATTTTCCTCTAAATACAAATTATGTCTCTATGAAAGGGAGTCATTTTTTTGTGCTTCCTTCTCCAGTCACATATTTTAGGTTGTCCACAAATGTTCTACTGTGTCATGATTTTTATATTGGGAAAAGTAAAATTTGCATACATATTTGCCTTACAAATAGATTTAATTTGAATTGCATTTCACCTTCTTTGTCAATAAAATATGTGCAATTACACTTTGTCCACTCTGATAGCATATTAAACTGTGATTTATTTAAAACTCAGACATGTAGGAGCAAACCCATGCAATGAGGTAAAAGGCACTGCAAATTCACAACTGTATCCGCCACTTATATTCTCTTCCTTGTATGTCTCTTAATGAAAAACCTTAATATTCAAATGCATCTGAAGGTTGTATATGAATGAAATGTATTGATAAGTGAACTTGGTCCGGTCACTTTCTCTCAGCCTAAGGAGGGAGGCAATGGAAAGTTATTTCTGAAAAATCTTGCAGAGATTTGGCCAGGCAGTCTCTGAGAATTGGAAACGAATGGAAGAAAAAAATTCACAAACTGGTACAGATTTACCTGTGGGATTACTCCAAATGCTTTTCTCCACTGCTGTACAGGGACCGTGTTCCAGGAAACACCATCAATTTGGATATCTCCTTCTGTATTCAAGATTCTTAAAAAAGCAAAGAGCAAAGTACTTTTTCCTGAGCCAGTTCTTCCTAGAAGGCCCACCTGAAATATGGACAAACATATAATATTGAAGGAACTGACATTCATACATTTGATTAAATTAACAAATTCAGAAAATAACTTTTTTGGGGGGGAATCTTCCGTTTCATGGTTTTTGGGTTGGGTAAGGTTTAAATGAAAATAGTCTTACCCTTTGTCCTGAATCTATTGAAAAGGAAATATTTTCTAACACTGCCAATCCTCCATCTACATATTTAGCAGTAAGATTCTTCACTGTCATCTGCCCACCAGATGGCCAGATGTTTTCTTCCTTTACATGCATATTCCCAATGATGACAGCATGAGAAAGCTCTTTATTTTTTGATGCGGGTAAAGGTTTGGATTCTTCTGTTGGCAGATCAATGAATTTAAATACTCTACTCACTGACCGCATCTGAAAACCAGAGAAAATTTATCTTAAATGCTATGATTTCCTTGAAATATATCTTGGTCAAACACATATAACTGATATAGAGAAAATATGAGTGAGAACATCAGATATCAATACATTTATCTCTACATTTTGTTATTCAAACTGTGAGTACAGACTATTTGGACTGACATTTATTTCTTCCCAAGCCAGTTCCTTCTTTAATGATATCCTCCAGTCTAGTCCTTAGGAATTCTTGGTTACTGAAAGTAAAGCACTTCTGTTTAGAGTCCCAAATCTGATGCCAAGATATGGATGGTCACTAGATGATAGCAAAAAGTTACGTAGTAACTCTATATTTCTTTGCAGTGATTTAGTGATGATCCTCATTTCTGCAGTCCACTTAGGCTAGCCTAACACTGCCGGCATTTTACTTCTTAACTCAGTGATGATCTTCATATCCCTGGCTTGGAGATGCTATGAAAAGTGAAAACCACTGTCCACCCAATCACCTTGGCACTTTGCACATTGGTAAATTTAGTGCTAGAGAAGGAGAGTGATAAAATCTCTCGATTTCTCCCTCATCTTTTATCCTGAACTAGAAAGAGAATACTTAAGAACTAGCAATGCCATATAGGACCTGAAGCTTAGAAGTTAAAACTAGCAACAGGAATTTCCTATGGTGAGGAAATGGAGCCACAGCACCTCTTTCTCCAGCTGCTATTCTCCACTTAGTCCTTCAACACTTTCAGTTAGGCTGCAATTTTAAACTACCTTTTTAAGTACCTCAGCCCTCAAGTAGCATTCTTCAACACTGCTGAAATGCCAGAACACAGAAATTCCATGTTCCTTCCCAATTAGCAAGAAATATTTGAGGAAGTGTCTGTAATGTTTTTGTGAAAATAATTAATTGGGGGCCAAATAAAAAGTATTTTTCATCATATACAAACAAAAAGTGTTTTTCATCATATAATATAGAATGCATGCATAATATAATTTAAGGTTTAACTGTTCTTTTACTATGTATTTGATTAAAAGAATCCTAATGATTGCCATAATATTTAGACATATTGCATTTCCAAAAAAATGATGCACAAACTATATTCTGGTGTATGCTTGTCCTTCTTCACAGATAAACCAACAGTATTAGAATCTACACCATTACATGAAAAGAATCATTGCTAAAAGAGAGACCTGATTTTTTAAACTCAAATTACTAGAAATATGTAGCATTTCAAAAATAATTCCAAAGGTGTTTGCAGTTGTCTGAAACAGCTTTTTAAAATAATTTTTAATTATTTGAATTAAAATAAATCAAACATTAAATAAATATTTAATTATTTGAATCTATAAAAAACTAAAAAAATAAAATACATGGAATGAAATATAACTAGAACTATAACCAATCTAGAGGATCATAAAGGAACATAAAGTACTATATTATACTATATATTAGAACATTGGGATATTATAAAATATATTGCATCTGTTTTCTAAACAAAACCTGAATGTCCCCATGAAGGTTTAAATTTGATTAACATTAATATTGAAAATAGAATATCAAGTAAAATATAAATACTGTTCTTCAGAAAACTCAGATTTTAGATGTGACACAAATCAGTATATAAAATTGAAATTAATTCAACAGTTGACTGGTTCCAATTAGAATTAAATTTGACATCATTCACTTTTTATGAAGTTATTTTTGGTAGAGGGCATATTTCCACAGTTTGGTTAGTCATTCTTCTAAAGGCACAATCAAATAACTTTTCTAATAAAAGCTATAGAGAACTCTTGTCATTATTAGTATGTGTACTGCCAATTCAGTATATTTGGAAGGGATATATGGTGAAATTTAATTTTAAAAATCTGAGATTACAATGAAATTATAGTTTCAAATTTGTTACATTCCATTGTGAACAATTTTTCAAAAATGCGGAGATTTGGAATGTTCCCACCATATATGGAATTTTTATTTTATTTTATTTAACAGTAAGTTAAAATGCTCCAAAAAAAAATCCAGAAGAAGCAAAACGAAGCAACAAAAAAACCCACAACACATTTAAGACATTAAAATGGTGCAAAAAACCCCAACGCATATACACATTTTATCCACCCAAGTGAATACTAATTAATAAATTACTACTATATTCTCACCCCCTGAAGAACAGCCTCCCCCCCCTATTTTTTTTTAAAAAATGGTAAATTTATTTGCAAATTATTGGTCTGTTTCCATACACTATATTAATGACAAAATAATTAATAGGAAGAAAGATAATAATAAAAAAGATGATATTAAGGTTTCAAACTGTTATGGTAAACCAGTCATAGCAAATTTACTATGGCATCTTATCTACCCAAATCATCCCCAAAATTAAAAGTAATTCATCCTGGATCAAATATCCATATTTGCTTCTTAAACTCTTATCAATTTTTGTCTAATAAACAATAACAGATTTAATCTCCCTAATCAGTCCATCTTCCACTAAAGTTCAGATAGAATAAATTTCCAGTTAGGTGTAATAAATCTACGATTCAGTCTCCCTCAGTCTTCATGAGAAAAAAAGAATCTTGTTCAGTAAGGCTGCTGCTGATATTCATCCATCCTTTTCGAAGAGGATCTTGACATCTAACGAGTTGTGGGCTGTCCATAGTGTGTCCACAGGTGGCTGGTAAGGCCTATACGGGCGTGAAATGTTCTGCCACATGTCAGGCAGACATGTGTGGGGCCACTATTGCAGCATTTGCAGCTCTGGCTTTGTGGAGAGCTCACTTCTTTTGTGCTATGGTTATCCTTCTGTCTTCAAATGTCTGGCAGCCATTGTCAATGTCTTTGCACGGTTTCCAGCACCGAGGGCAGGAGGGGTCAATGGTGCAGGTGGCCCCAGGGACTATTGTATGCCTCCCCCGCTTCCCTTATTCTGGGAACAATCAGAAAAGTACTGATAGAGAGGGCGGAGGTTTTGTTGGTAGCCCCTTACTGGCCCAGGCGACCTTGGTTCGTTGACCTGATAGGCTTGTCAATCGCCAGACCTTGGAGAATTCACCCGCGCAGGGTCTCCCTCAGCCAGGGTCCAATCGAGCATCCGGAGCCAGCATGGTTCCGGTTGACGGTCTGGTACTTGAGCGGGGGCGGCTAAAACAGGAGAAGTTTCCCAGAAAGGTCATCCAGACAATCCAGCTGGCCAGAAGACTTTCCACAATCAGGATATACAATGCCACGTGGAAGGTTTTCTGTGGTTGGTGTGCCAGCCACCAATTGGACCCCACTACTGTATCTGTCGCTAATGTGTTAGATTTCAACATACGCCATTGTCGATCAATCTTGTGTCAGAGTTTCCCAGGAGGTGGTATCGATATCCAGAGACTTGAGAGAGGCTTTCAGCCTTTCTTTGTCCCCCTTGCAATCGCTTTCCTTGAGACAGCTCACCATAGAGAGCTGTTTAGGGATGTGGTGGTCTGGCATCCTTGCAACATCGCCTGCCCAGCATGTCTGGGCTTTGATCAGTCCACACCCTGCTCTGGAAAGGACTTCTGTGTCTGGCACCTTGTCCTGCCACCGAGTCCTCAGAGATCTGAGGCAGGTTGTGTGGAAGTGGTTCAATTGCCTAGCGCGCCTCCTGTATACAGTCCAAGTCTCACTGGCATACATCATGGTAGTTAGTACTACTGCTCGGTAGACTTTGAGCTTTGTAGTATTGTGAGAAAATGCAGACTTAAGCTTCAAAGAGATGCGTGGAATCAACTCAGTTCCACAGCTACAGGAATATCTCTTTGGTTCAAATGAAAGTCCTTTTGTGTATCTAATTTGTCTAAAATTAAACATCTCTGTATATTCTCCACAAGCATTATCATCTCATCAAACTTCTTAATAAACTTTCAACTAAAAACTGCATGTCGCCTGGTTCATTGTTGCTGTGTGTACCTTGATCAGGGGAATAAAAAACACAGAAGCAGAAGAAAACAGGAAAGGCATTTTCTGGATATTTCAATCCAAAGTCAAAAGAAGAAAAAAAATCAAAAGAAATAAACTCAAAATATTTTTCAAGTTCAAAGAAAATACAGAAATTCAATATTAATATATGAAATGAAATACTTTACCATCCCAAAAAAACAACCCTTGTTTCCTTGCACCAAGAACTAAGGTTGTTGAAAACAACATAAATCAAAGTGAGAGTCCAGCAAGGAGCTGAAATAAATCAACATTCAACCAGTAATCCACTTTTAAAAGCAAAGAACAAAATGAAACAGTAAATCCAAAAAGTGAAAGTTAATAGTCCATGTGTGGTTAAGAAAATGAAACTACTAACAGAAAAATGGATGACTTTCCCACCGATTTCAAAGGGAACATCAAGAGTTCTCTTCCCACATGCCTGCACAGCTGTCCAAAAGTTATCTTGGATCATTCCTTAGGGTTCCCATTCAAATCCGGCCAAAGCATTGCCAAAAATCTGCTCTAGCAGCAAAAACAACAGATTGTGGTGTAAAGAGAATAATTTGAGATTTCTACGAGCCAGGGTAAAGCAAGAAACAAATCAAAGAAAATTGAAATTCAGACATACTGTGCAAAAGATGTTATTCTCAAGAACAAAAGCTCTACTCTTGAAGGTAGGCTATGGAGAAAATGGGGCACAGGGGCTTCGTTTGACAGGAGGACTGGTCCTTTATGTGAATTTGGGGTGTGGTTGGCATATGGGTTGGTTTCAAAATGTCCCTTCTATGCAGTTTGAGATGCCCTTGGTTTGAGCTTTGATCCTGTGTGAAATCCGGAAAAGATTGCCTTCGCCCTCTGATATGCAGATTCCATCCCTGATGTCTCCCCCCACCTCAACAGAATTTCTGACTCCCCATGGAGAGAAGGGCGCGATCACCGAAACAGTTGTTATACCTGTGGAATTTCTCATATCAAAAGACCTAAGCGCCAAAGCTCACTGCAACAGTATTGCCAAAAAGGCTTTAAGAGTTGTAAATTTAATTTTACGAAGCTTCTCCTCTGGTAATGCTGATTTGCAAACTAGGGCATTCAAAACCTTTGCTAGACCAATACTTGAATTCAGCTCTGCTGTCTGGAATCCGCACTGTATATCAGACATCAATACAATTGAGCGAGTCCAGAAGTATTTTACCAGAAGAGTACTACATTCCTCTGTTCGCAACAGAATACCCTACAGCACCAGACTTGAGATTCTAGACTTAGACAACCTTGAACTATGCCGGCTAAGATTGGACTTAAGTATAGTACATAAAATCATATGTTACAATGTCTTACCAGTTAATGAATATTTCAGTTTTAACCACAATAACACAAGAGCACACAACAGACATAAACTTAATGTAAACCACTCCAAACTTGATTGCAGGAAGTACGTTTTCAGCAACAGAGTGGTCAATGTCTGGAACTCACTACCTGATTCTGTTGTCACCTGCTCAAACCCCCACTCCTTTACCCTCAAAACTAACCTCTATTGACCTCACCCCATTCCTAAGAGGTCTGTAAGGGGTGTGCATAAGCACACAACCGTGCCTACCGTCCCTGTCCTATTGTCCCCAATTATTAGTTCCTATTTCTTATATTTAAACTTACGTTTATTGTTATTTCTATTGTATTGCAAGCTTTTGAATAAATAAATAAATAAATAAATAAATAAATAAATAAATAAATAAATAAACAAACAAACAAACAAACAAACAAACAAATAAATAAAAAAATAAAAAAATAAAAAATAAATAAATAAATAAATAAATAAATAAATCCCACCCCTGGGTACGTGTCAATAAAGCCACATATTATAAGACCATTGTTGGTATCCACTAATGACACTCGAAAGAACATTGGAGTTTCTCTATGAAGTTCATATATCCTAGAGAATTGAGGTAGAAGTCCAAAACAATATGATTTCTTTCTCTTAGAAGCTCTGCAAATATAGGGGAATTGATTGTACATTCAGAATGATTAAACGTAATGGATGACAACAGCAGAGTAGTGACAAACAGGTAATAGTTGCATAGTTCTAATTGTGCAGTGTTGATAACGATGGCTGCAATGGAGATCTACAGAAGTATTTATTAATTTATTCCACTGAGAAAGCCATTTGTCTGTGCATCAGTGCAGTGGTCAGTTTGTTGGCAGGTAAGAGTTAATAGGTATATGATTCCTGTGTTGCAGCCTCTGCATTGGTTTCCAGATACTGTACATAAAATGTATTGGTTTAATTTACTAATCCTACATGGTTTGGTTCCCTGGGATCTTCAGAGCTGTTTCTTCGAAGTGGAATTGACTGATCCCATATTGCTCTTGAATTTTTAAAAAGTCCCTCAGTTTTGTGAGGTAAAAATCTAGGGACTGCAATTAGTGTTTTTATGTGATAATCTCTAATCTATGGAATAGCTTACTCTGAAATGAGGTTAGCATCTACTTTAATGGTTTTTCATAAGTGGTAAGGCCAGAATCGTTCAGGTAGGCTTTGGGAGAAGCTAGGAAGATTTTCTTTGTGATGGAAGGTCAAGGAAATCGAACAAATCCACAGGAAGGAGCCCTGTTACAGAAAAGGTTACTTAGTTTAGGGCAGATAATACATGTGAGGAAAAAAAATTAAGAGTAAGTCTGATTAGAATTGCTTTAGCAGGATTAGCCCTTTAAGGTAAGCCAGGTAAGGAAGCTAGTCCAGAAGGAATAATGGAACTGTGGAACCTTGAAAATCTGATAGAATTTTTCTCTTGCCCTCTGTTAGGAATATAAGTCACCTAACAGCTATTTGGGTTAGAAATATATAAACCAGGATAAACATTTTAAAACTGTATCTTTAAGAAAATGCAAAACTGTAATTAGGTGTGGTTTCTCAAACGGCCATAAGTTGGAGCCAGAAACCTGGTTTGTCTTAGTCTTAGTCTCAGAAGAGAGTGTGAGTCAGTCTCTGTTTCCTTCTGTTGGAGAGTATTGCCGTTCCTCCATTTTTCCTAATTGACTGCTATTTCTGGATTTGATGTAAGTCTGATACTGAACTGTTTTTGACACTGGACTTTGTTATTGGATTACCCCTGGATTGAAAAACTGACTGATCTTACCTGTGAGTGACTTTGGACTGCCTATTTTGAACTTTGCTTACTTTATTGAAGGTAAAACCCTACATTTACTGTACGGTGTATCTGTGTGCTGTGTATGTATTATTCAAACACTTCTCTCATATACGTCTCCCTGTATGCGCTCATTCTCCTAACGGGGAATTACCTCAACACCGTCTTACAAAGCAAGGCAATCCTGAGCATCTTTCATGCTCCTTCTTCCCTTTAAGGGGTAAGTTGGTATTCATGTATCCATTCTTGCATTCCCTCTTCAAGACCATTTCTGTACTACTCTGTAGACAGGCCTTCAATATTTGATTATTCTACCCCATAATAAGGAGGAAGATCATTCCAGAAATTCATGTGATTTTTATTTCCTGACTTTACCAGCCTCGTAGTGCTTCAAATCTTGGTTTGATAGATCAATCTTCATTCTGAGTTTTAAGTAATTGCTGTATTTGATTGTTTTATTTATTTATTCATTCAAGTTGTATGGCCACCCAAGTGATTCTAAGCGGTTGAGCACAGTTAAAAACAATAATGATTTTATATTTTGTGTAATTAACTGCTAGGAATCTATTACAAGTTTACAGAGATATTAAATAAAGAAATATGAAGTTTTCCAAATTGAAACGATTCCCTGACATGCAAATTAATCATTTCCCGCTCTGAACTTCAACTATGCAGTTTTGCACATTGATATCTGTAAAAATAAAATCATAAGTACAAAAGACTGAGGATGTGCTAAAAACAATACACGCAATTATGAAAAAACAAATTTAAAGAAAAAATGTTTACTAATCATGTATCAATACATACTTATCTTCAATTATAAAATTAATGCCAAATGCATATTCTACAATGTAAGATATTTCATAAGCTTACTAAATTAATATAAAATATTTATCTTCTTTTTCATTTTTCAATTATTTTTTTTATTAAAATATTTACTTTCAAATAAATGTTTAAGATTCTTACCAAGCTGTCTACATCAATGCTTGTGTTCACAGCCCATTGCAATGTTCCCATAATGTTCATGGCTAATGTAAGAATAATGCCAACTTTTCCTTCCCCGTTACCTATAAGTAAGAAACATGTATAAAATCCCAGCATAAAACATAGTGTGCATATGTGTTAGCTTGCAATTATACACATATATATAAAACTCATGCACACATGCAACACATTTATGCATAGGTAAATCTGCACCGAAGGAAAGACAAGCGATATCCTAAGTTATCAGCTCATTAGGGCAGCCCTTAAATTTAGGGCAATCACTCTTGCAATGGAAATTTAGCTCTAACAGCTTCAGATACATGTGGTCAAAAAATATGAAGTATCTCCTATGTAACAGCTGCTGTCTCATGGAACAGCCTCCACTTCCCCAAGATCTGGCAGATCCTGATACTTCTGGCCTTCTGGAAGTCTGTGAAGACATAACTCTTTCCCCCTCGTGCTGCACGGGGATGCCAGATGAGCCAATTAAGAGTCTTGACTTGCATCGTGGGGTTGTTATATGGTGCCTCAGTTGTTATACAGGAAGTCCTCGACTTGCAATAGTTCGTTTAGTGACCTTTCAAAGTTACAAGGGCCCTGAAAAAGTGACTTATGACCATTCTTCACAATTACAACATTTGTAGCATCTCCATGATCATATGATCCAAATTCAGATGCTGGTCAACTGGTTCATATTTATGACCGTTGCTGTGTCCCAGGATAACGTGATCACCTTTTGACAAGCAAAATCCGTGGGGAAGCCAGATTCACTTAAGAATCAAGATGCTAATTTATCAACTGCAACTTAGCAACTGAGTCAAGAAAGGTCATAAAATGGGGTCATAAAACTCACTTAACAAAGGTCTCCCTTAACAGAAATTTTGGGCTCTTGTGGTCGTCAGTCGAGGACTACCTGTATCATGATTATTTTAATTTTGTTTTGGTGTTTCCTTGATCAATAGTTCATGATATTGTTTTTGGTGCACTGTTTATGTATGCAATATAGGCAGCCATAACTTTTCTGTATAAAAAAAGTAAAATAAATAAATTTGTCATTCTCGATTAAGGCGCATTGATTAAACTATCAGCATCTAATGTCCATTAATTATTTAAATCACCATATTTTTTTCTATCCATACATGTCTTGATCTATCTCTTTTTCTCTCTTTAATATAAAAACAAAGAAATATATACCTGTAGTAGCAATAGAAACAAAGGTCACAATGATGAAGAAGATTACAAAAATCATTTCTATTCTCATCTGAAACCAACGTAACGTAGATAGATAGAGGAACCAGTTCGCTGTATGCAAATTTAGAGCTTTATGGAATAATGTTTCAAAATATGGTTGCCGTCCATAAGCTCTCAATGTCCAGAGTCCCTTTAAGCTGGTAATAAGATGTGTGAAAATTGGACTTCTAGCTATAAGGAATGCAAATATGAAAATAAAAAGACTACATGTTTATTATTTCTTTAAAAATGAATTGCATAAAGATGCAAACATAACTAATTCTTGTATTTCCATCACAAACATTCTTTTCTAGTTGCATCATGTCACAGAACATTAAAAATAGTATGTAATCCTCACGTGACTATATATTGTTTTGATACTATAGTCCTTGATAATACCTTTTTGATATATTTATTTTAATTTTTTATGATTTCATATTATTATGTATTTGAAGCTATCTTACTATAAGTTGCTTCTTAAATTCGTGAACTGTTAAATGTTTTATGTGAGACAGTAATCCTTTTTTAATGTAAACTTTTTATAAACAGATAGATACACCAAATTTATTTTTATCTCTGTTGTATTTTAATTATGTCTATGATTCTCTTTTTTTCATCGTCAGATTTAGCATTCGTAGTCTTTAATATCAGCATCTGCAGAAACACTGAATATTTGTAGAGAACATTGTTCAGAGACAAAGACAAAATGGTTATCCAATTTCTTCTTTAAAATCTCCAGTGTTGGAGCATTTACAACTTCTGGAAGCAAGTTGTTCTACTGATTAATTGTTCTAACTCAGTGGCCCCCAACCTTTTTTGTACCACGGCCCAGTACAAAATGTACAAAATGATCCATGGACCGGTACCGGCATCAGCACGCACGACCAAAACAAGGCGAGCCGAGCGACCGGCCAGCCAGCCATCCCCCGCTTCTCCCCGCCACCTTCAACTCCTCCTTTGTACCTTCTCGCGGTCGATGGGCTTTTCGGGCTCTTTCTTAATCTCCTCCTGAGTAACGCGAGACTCCACCGCCATCGGGACTGCTGTTCGTTCTAAGCCGCCCCCCCCCCGACGAAACTAAGGCGCAAGGACCCAAATGCCACTTTCCAACAACCCAATGACCGACAAGCTCACCCGGAAGCACTTTGTCAAGCGCCGTCAAAACAAGATGGCGGCGCCCAAGCAAAATAGGTGGCCCGGTACAAAATGATCCATGGACCGGTACCAGTCTGGGGCCTGGTGGTTGGGGACCACTGTTCTAACTGTCACGAAATTTCTCCGTAGTTCTAAGTCGCTTCTCTCCTTGATTAGTTTCCACCCATTGCTTCTCGTCCTGCCCTGAGGTGCTTTGGAGAATAGCTTGACTCCCTCTATGCTGAGAGATTGGAACACTGCTATCATGTCACCCCTAGTCCTTCTTTTCATCAAACTAGACATACTCCATTCCAGCAACCATTTTTTATATGTTTGAGCCTCCAGTCCCCTAATCATCTTTGTTGCTCTTCTCTGCAAACTTTCTCGAGTCCCAACATCTTTTTTTACATTGTGGAGATCAAAACTGGATGCCGTATTCCAAGTGTGGCCTTACCAAAGCATGACATGAGATCTTAAAATAGGAGTGGGATGAAAAGCAACAGAGAAAAAATCTCTTTTCATTTTATTTGTATCTATATTAGATCATACCTTCAGACTCCAGTTGTTTTAGCTGTTGAGATGTGTGCAGGAAGTATGCTCTTAACATAACGAAGGCTCCTATCACAGGCACAGATGCCAGGAAGATATAGGGTTCCGTGAAAGAGACTACTATTATAGCACCAATCACAATGAGCATTAACTGCAGGTGGAAAGAAAAATACTATTGATACAGCAAACTTTTCACAAAATTGTACAAGTTATAAGGAAATGATTTCCCTAAGGTTACTATGATAATATTATCCTTTTTCCACATGGTGCCATTCAAATGTTTTGAATCATCATCCTAGTCTCTGCAGTCAGGCCAGATCAGAGGTGGGTATTCAGCAGGTTCTGAACAGTTCTAGAGAACCGGTAGTGGAAATTTTGAGTAGTTCGGAAAACCGGCAAATACCACCTCGGACTGGAGATTTTACAGTATCCTTCCCCTGCCACGCCCACCAAGCCATGCCCACGGAACCGATACTAAAAAAAATTGAATCCCACCACTGAGTCAGATCCATACAATTAGTCCTTGACTTACGACCACAATTGAGCCCAAAATTTTTGTTGTTAAGTGAGACATTTGCCCCATTTTATGACCTTTCTTACCACAGTTGTTAAGTATATTACTGCAATTGATCAGGTGGTTAAATGAATCTGGTTTTCCCATTGACATTGCTTATCAAAAGATTGCAAAAGGTGATCACATAGCCTTGACCCACAGCAATGGTCACAAGTATGAACCAGTTGCCAAGCATCTGAATTTGATCACATGATCGTGGAGAAAGGTTGTAACTGTAAAAAATGGTCATAAGTCACTTTTCTCAGTGCCATTGTAACTTTTAATGGTCACTAAATGAACTGTTGTAAGTTGAGGACTATCTGTAATTGTACTCCAAAATATCTGAAGGGCAATAAAAATATTTAGCAATTTGAGTTCGTTTTCAGTGTCCATTCCCTTGAAATCTAATTTGATCACTGTACGGTCACTCAGTCTGATACTTCTTACATCCTGATATATGCTATCTTGGTATAGATCCTAGTGATATATTTCTGCCATGCAAAATTACACAATTTGCAATCTTGCTAGCAAAAATCTTTGATAGCCTTCTCATTTTTTTAATGATTTTCAAGATCACCTATAGAATTCCTAGAATTTTTGAACTGAGAGAATATATACTCTTTTCATATATACCAAATCAAAATAATCATGCAAATTAGATATTTATTTTAATTAAAAGGCAAATGTGTATGTATGTATATGATTTGTGGAGGACTGGAGGATGACTTGCTGCTAAACAGTGAGACATTAGTTTGTAAAAACATATTTCTTAACTAGTTTATGAAATGGCATGACATGACATGACATGCATTGTTGCTAAATTATGACATCTGAACAATATTAGAATTGGTTATAAGCAAGGCTAGGCTGGTAGCAGGAAGGTGAAACTTAATAATAATGCTGATGGAATTTTATTGAAATATTAGGTTAGATATATTAGAAAATAATTAGATTATTTTATTAAGCCAAATGTACCCCTCAGCATAGATAAGAATCCTACTGGACAATACCATCGCCACCATGTCACAATGATGGCAAACACATGATGAAATCATGACCCAATTCTGCTTTTATACACTTTTGTTCCAATGAGTACATAAATATATAAATCATGCTATTTACATGAAATATAACTGAGGACCCAGATTGTTGGGGGCAAATGTGGTGTCACTGTAAACTGCTTAGAGAGTGCGGTCCACTACCAGGCCATGGCCTATTTGGAATTGAGCCATGCACATAGCTCAACTTGCGCAAGCGGTAGCCTGGTTCCCCTCCCCCCTGGGCCACAAACGTTGGGGACCACCGCTGTAAAGCACTATGAAGTGGTATATACGGTAAGTCTAAGTACTATTACGATTTCTATTATGGCACCTGTTTTTCCTCACTTGAACAGATGTGCATCAGACCAAATTTCACCCAAAACAGTATCATATGACAACCAGATTTTTCTAAAAGCTACAAAATGTCTCTTACTTTTGTCTTACTGTTCGTTGGTTTACGGTATTTTTGGTTTAAGGTATTCTTGAGGAAGAAAAGCTCAGGATAATTCTAACATAACTGAAGAGTCATGATTTATACTGTCCCAATTTTTGCAACGTTTATTATAACATTTACAAACCTGAATGAAGTCAAATATTGCAAGTGGCAATAAGTCATCCAGGATTGCTATATCCTTTGAAAACCTGTTAAGTATTCCACCTATATGTTGAAGGGAAAAATAAGTTAGTTATCAATTGAATATTTTATCAGTGTTGATTACTGATTAATACTGGATTAGTTTACATTCAGATTAGCTATAGGAAAATGTTTACATAAAAAGATTTATATACTAATTTAGGATATGGGTTAACAATTCACATTTTTGGGTTATAAGGTTATTTTACTTATTCATATAAAACATTTATATACCTATGCATCTTCCAATCAATTTGATGCAGCCCCCGATAATGTTATACATTTGAAGCTTTATTTTGTTTATATATTAGATTATTTTTATCCTGCCTTTATTATTTTAAAGTAACTCAAGGTGGCAAACATACATTAATACTCCTTCCTCTTCCTCTTCCTCTTTTCCACAACACCCCATGAGGTGGGTTGGATTGGGAGAGAGTGACAGGCCCAAGTTACCCAGTCAGCTTTCATGCCTAAGGTGGGACTAGAACTCAGTCTCCTGGTTTCTAGCTTGGCGCCTTAACCACTAGATGGAACAGGCTCTGTATACTGTATGCTGCTGAAGCCTTCAAACTTAGGGCAGATTATAAATAATATAAAATTAATAAATATTTGACATCATAGATGAGTTTAAGCAAACGTAAGATTCACCAATGGTTTCCTTCTCAGTACACTTATACGACAGTGTTCAGAAATAATTGCTTCTATTTTTAATCGAACCTCCCTTGTGAAAAGTGCGCTGTGCAGTGGAGTTAAGTTCTGCTTTTAAAAAAAGTCAAGCTTGTAATGATGGGGCAACGTGGTGCAACCAGTTTAGTGCAACCAGCTCATTGCTATCAGACCGCCACCCAAATCACTTCTGCCAACTACACCGTCATGTAGGACGACTCAACATGGCCAATTCACTGCAGGTACAATATGCCATGGCAGCTGGAGAACAGGGCAAGCGAGTGGGTGAGCAGGGTGCAGAGCGGCAGCAGCCAGGGCCTTCCTATTTGAACATACCTCAATTGCCACTGCTGCCGCCACTGCTGTGCTGAGCTCTGGGCTGTTTGGAGTTCGGGCCATTGGACGGTAGTGGCAATGTTTGGGCTGTTTGCCAGCGAGGTAGAGAAGGCCTGGCATTTCCCCTTTGCGCATACATTTTTGCCAATGCTGTGTCATGCTCCTCCTGCTCACTCACCTGCCCACCCAAGTTCTCCCTCCAGCTGCCCATGTCAAGTTGTCCCCACAGCAAATTGGCCGTGATGTTCTGCAGCGACTTAGCGGTTGTAGTTGTCAAAGGCAGAGGCAACTTGGTGGTGGTGAGCTGGCCATGCCAAGCTGGCTATGCCGAGTTGTCCCATTCTGCCCTAAATGCCTAGCAAATGCCTTTGCTATATGTGGTTTTATTATAAGATATCTCCGTTGCATTTTAAATTTGCCACTCTTATGCATACATGCTGCCTGATATGCTACATAGCACGAGAGGATCTAATGCCAATGCTAATATATACAGAGATGTGTGAAAGCTGGTAATGGACCTGGATTAAGAATTCATGCCTTCTATTCTTAAATATCCAGAGGACATCCTCTATCAAAGATGGCGTCCGAATGTCTATCTCCAATATATTTGGATTTTTAAAAACTGATTATTGCAACCTGTTTTGAGAATGTTTTCCAATTTTGAATGATGGAATGAATCACCAACGTCTCCTTTGCCTGAACTCAACATTACCTAAGCATATAAAAATTACTACAGATTGCGTGACTTTTAGTTACCTGCTTTGAGTTTGTTGAGGGAAGACATAGGAGCTTGAAGTAATGCATGAAGCATCTTGTGATGAAGAGTCTTGGAAATTGTTATAAGAGTATGTACTAGGGGTAGGCCTCTAAAGACCCCCATGGCTAGCAAGGTATCTGCCACCCCCACATAAATGTAGAAGATATAAAAGCTGCTAGTCTTAGTAATAATAACTGTACTGTTCCTCAGTCCATCCAAGGTATTGTTTTTTGTTGACTCTGTTTCATTTGAAACAACACATCTATAAAATAGACACAAACACATATTATTATCAGTTTATAGTTGTTTATAAATTTACAGTCGCATACTGAGTTTCATTTTTTAAAAGCATGATATGTCATACTAGCATTGAAATCACAATTTGATAGTTTATGGGAATGCTGTTTTGATAAAACTGATTGTTTTAAAGGGACATGAATTTATGATTAAGTATTTGAAAAGGAGCAAAGAATAATGCTAAGAGCAGCAATTTTGATGTCTTATGAAGTTAAAATAAGACATCAAAATTGTTATTGTTAGCATTATTCCTCATTTATTGTTATACTACCACACTTGATAAAAAATATTCCTGTCCAAAAAAAAGACAACAGGAAAACTGTCATTTATACGTTTACACAGGAATAATCCCATTGAATTCAAAGAATATATATTTTAGTAGACATTTGCAGGTCATGTTTGAGAATAATTGGATGAGACAGAAACCTTTAAAAGTACAGAATTGAGCTATAGCATATAATAACAAATTATCCATGTAAGACTAAGCAAGCGCTGGATTAAAAGTGTTACCAGTTAATAGATTTGTTTTAAGTGGCAGCCAAATGAAAATTTGAAATGTAGGAATAAATTAAAGGGAGTCCAATTGATGCCAATGGAGAATCTTGAAATAGAAGTAGCAGTTTTATCATTTTATGGCAGGGAGAGAAAGGGAGAAATTCTTTTGGTCTGTTCAACCTTCAGAACAAGCTATGCATTAATTATATTTATGCATTTAATATTATGACTAAAAATAAAATCTCCTTCAAGTGGAATTCAACTCCTGATGACTCCATGACAATGGAATGGAAATGGTTTTCCATTATCATCTTCTGATATGTCTTTTTCAGCTTCCTTGCATCCCCTGTTCTGGGCATTTCTTAGCATACCAACTAAGAAGACAATGCTTAGCTTATTGAGATCCACCAACATCATGTGATGCCATTTAACTGGGCATGTGGTAATTGCTTTAGCTTTAAATATTAAAACTTAGCCCCATTGAAATGTTAGAGTTACATAACATAAATAAATCTTTAATATTGTACTATTGTACTCACCTAGTGATATAGTATAGCCCAATCAGGGAAGCAGCCACCTAAAAATAGAAAATTGATAGTTAATTCATACTTCGACGTTCCATTTTTGGCATTCTATAGATTTCTCACACATTCTATAAAATATATAATTTCACATATTGATTGTAACATGTATAAAGTCAACCAGAAGTTTTATGTCCAGTGTTACTCTAATTTATAAAGTGTTCAATTATAAAACAGAACTGCCAAACTACAATGTAATAATTCTGTACAAGGAAATTATTTCAGGTGCTGTAATTCTATTATCTACAGGCCTGTTGAAGTACCCCTTGAAAATTGGATGCATCTGTCAATTTCAATTTCACTCATTTCCCAATCTTATTTCCTCCTGTTTCTATATTAGTTTGCTGGGGTTTTTTAAAAAGTTAGAATCAAAATGTGTGTATGTTTTCACATTTGTTTCTCCCAGTTGCATACATTTTTGTATTTTATTTTGTTCAGTGAATGTCCGTATTATGTATTTCTGCATGCATATTGTTGGAGATCACTCAATTAAAAAGTTACAGTATCCAAACATCCTGGTGTCTAGGCTAACATAGTGAAAATTTACATCTGAGGTGGTAGACTTTATGTTTTTATGTTTTTAATGGTTTTTATAGTTTTATTGCTGGGAGCTGCCAAGATGGACAGCCATACAAATATATTAACATAAATAATAATAAACTTGTAAAATATCAGAATTAATACATTTGGTTTCTGCGATATAGATAATCTTTGCTTAAGTACTATTCAGTGTGTCAGCTGGTGCTCCATTCAAAATCCAAGAAAGAAATACTTAGACTCTTTTAATTAGAGAAAAGATATCTTTTACTGGAAATGAAGTGGTAGCAACAAGAGAATTCTGAATCTGAGGAAATAGGCGCGTAAATCACATATACAAAGTGATGGAAATGTTCCCACCCCCAATAGTTCAAATGGTTCTTCCAATTAAAAGTTGTGAATATCATCATGTGGACATCTTCAGGTGGTGATGAAGTTTCTGTCCGTTGACCTTGGCATACTTTGATAAAGGTTTGCAGCTGTGCAGAGAAAAGAAAGCTAAGCGAGAAATAGAAACCTAAGCAAAAATGTACTCTCCCCCCTCCTCAGTTTATACAATGCTAGTTTGTACCACCTCCAGCTCGCTTCCCATACTTGTTGCCCCTCCTCCCCCCCGTTACTTATGGCAGCCGAAAGATGCAAAGCAAAGGTAGAAGATCTTGAAGGCTGACACAGTGACTGTTCAAATTTAGGACAATGCTAACTGAACGCAGTTAAGGCTGATCCTTGAATTTATAATGATCGTGGTATCCACAGCGAAGGCTACGAAAGACTTGGGGAAGCCTCACAAAACACTTGCAAAGATCCAGCAGCTACCTCCACCTGGCATGCCTCAGCAGCAGCAGAAGGAAGAAAACTGTGAAAATCAACTAAGGATGGCATGGGATGCAGATGGCAGCGGCAGCAGAGCGCAAAGTAGCCAAAAGAGCAGAGATAAAGGGCAAAATGGCTGAGGAGGGGGAGACTTGAGGTGGAGTTGAACACAGCAGAGAAGGAGTCTGGCTAATGACCAAGGAAGGAAGTTTCTATCGCTCTTTTTTTATTAGAGCCTTGTTCTTCTATACATCTTGTACAGCATGCACGAAATAAGAATGGGTTTGTTTGTTTTTTACAATTGTTGCATAAGCGATTTTTTAAAAGTCGAATTCATGATTATAATATTCTTACCTCAATTAAAAAAATAATAAGACATATAAATAATACAAAAATCATTTTTTTGTGGATGGTTATATATCTGAAGTATGTATTCCATGAAGTGACTGCATTCATGGCCTCTGAATCATCAAAGAAACATTCCTGGCAAAATAATTGAGAATACAATTAGACTGTTCTATATAATTACGTCTTGTTTGTACCCTATTGGTATCATCAGTATAAGCCTAGGTGTTATTGCTATTGGTTTTCATGAGAATTCCTATTAATATGCTTACAATTTTGGTTTCCAGCTTTCTTTTAGACAACAATGTGTTTAAGAATGTTATGTTTATCCTCTTATTCATTCATATCCATAGCCCTTTAAAAAGTGAGAGGAATACTTCCCTTTGAGATTTCTCCTGATATATTGTTATTGTAGTTGGAACAGAATGTCCTATTCAGGATCATTTACTTTTAAAAATGAAAGCACACTTTCAAATGCAATTTCCCCTAACATATTCTTTTTTGTACATGTTTCCTTAATAAATGTATCAGCATATTAAACTAAAACCTAATGATTCTTTGAATTGGAAATATTATCTTGCAATACACCAAGCTGGACATCCAAGAAACAGGGCCACTTACAACCATTTAGCTACAATTATTTGAAATATATACCTTTAAATCATCTTCATTAAGTTCTTCAGTTATTTCTACCAGACTGTCCCGAGACAAACGCCTTGCATAGATGTCTGCTTCAGAAGATCGCTGAAACACTGATGTGCTGCTTTTTCTGTAAATGCTTTGACTTGGATGAATTGATGTTCTGGTCATTAAATTAAGTACAGATTGTCTTCTCTGCCCTCTGAATGTGGGCCCTGAATTTAATACATTGCTGCGAGGCAGAATTGCCTCCCCTTGTTCAGACTCTGGTACTAAAGACAACTTTCTTTCTGCTGGTTCTCCAAGACCTTCTTCCTTACCATTGACGTGAAGTGATGTTTTTCGCATGAGAGAAAATTTGCGGCTAGAATTTAGTGCATTCATTACAGAGTTCTTCCTTTTCTCAGGAAAATCTGATGTTTGTTTAAAAGATGCTTTTTTCATGTCATTTCGTGAAGTCATGCCATCATTATCAACAGAGAGACGCCGCAGTGTTTCAGTAAGAATGGAGTTTCTTCTTTCTGGACTGTAATGGTCAAAAGCATCCCATCCCATCAGCTCAGAACTGAAGTTGGGTCGCTGACCCTGAAGCTCAGAAAATGTTCCATAGAAATAACAGCATCCTCCATGGAGAATCAATATCTTGTCTGCTATCTTTAAGTGTTCCAACTTTGAAGTGACAAGTATTCTAGTTTTATTCACAATAAGCTTGCAAATGCAACTTCAGAAAAAGAAAGAAAAATGCAGATGTGAAGTTAGGTACTACATACTGATGACTTTATTATACGAGTGCTTCCTAATTCAAGAAAGCTATCCTACATTCATTTAGCTGACAATAAAATTAGGGGATTGAAAAAGAACACTATTTTCCAGGCAAATCATAATTGTGCTGGATATCTGACTATAGATCAGGGGTGTCAAACTCAAGACGCATGGGCCCAATCCGGCCCATGGGCTGCTTAGATCAAGCCTGTGGGGCCAGCCTGGAAATAGCAAAGGACCAGCCCATGGTTCCTCTGCTATCCAAAATGAGTGGCCCCGAGCACCGTTTTGGCAGGAGGCCAACCAGGCCCAAAACAGGACATGGGAGGACTGTGGGTAGCTCCCTGGACCCCATTTTGGCTGACAGGGTGGTGTAGGAGGCCATCCAAGCCTTAAATGAGGCACGGGGGGAAGGGCTCAGGTGGTTCCCCCTGTGCCCCGTTTTGGCTTTGAGAGTGTTGCAGGAAAATAGTTGGGAAAGGAAATAGTTGGGAACATACGCAAGCCATCAGAAGAAGAAAAAAATTGGTCAGGAAAGCATTTTCCCCCCAAAAAAGTAGGTGGCCAAAGAGAGCGGAGTCCAAATATAAGGTGCAAGGAGACACATTGTCACAGAAGTGTTAGGGATAACATTGTTTACCCTAACTGGTTTGGGTAAAAATAATAAATAAGTTATCATGGTTTGTTGGTTTAAGTGTGTGTAACTTTAACTACAAGAATGTAATTAAGGGTGTGGTTGTAAAAGCACCATAAAAGAAGCAAGTCGATTGCAGCTCTCTCTCTGGCTTAATGATCCCTAATTACTGGATGGATTGATGACTGCGTTTTTCCTTACTGGAACGAGGAGAGAAAGGAGTGTTGATTTCTCAACAGAGAGAAGAGATAATACGGACTGATTTATTGTAAGTGAACTGACATTGGCTATTCAACACGGACTTTGCAAATTGAGTATCCTCGACTGGACTGACTGAAATGATACATGACTAATGGACCGTTTATTTGACTATGCTATAATTCCTAATGGAATAAACTATATTTTTGATAGCACAAGCGTATCTGCTTTTTACTGCGTGTTAACTAAAATACAAACTTATCTCACACATTTACCTGTCTGCCTATCTGACTACGCTACACATTCTGTTTAGTTTGTTTTCCTTAACACTCGTTGGGGAATTCAGGCTTAACAAGAAGAAATATGGATGGCATAGAAATGAGAAAAGCAGTTAAAAAAACACTGTGGACTGGATAACAAAGTCCAGTTGCAAGGAAATCCCTCTTCCAGGGTCAATTTCTTGAGGCAGTGAAATTGGGCACTGGCAGGTTCAAGAGGTTTCTGAGTTGGAAAATTTTAACCCCTAATTTTGCTTCGCTGACACTCATTGAGAGGACTGGAAGACTTCTGGTTTGGTGGCAGAGAGAACAACAGAAGGGATTCTTGAGGTTACATAGACTCAACTTTAGGCAGCTTTAATCTGAATTTTGCCTACAACTAGTCAAGGCAAGATGATCTTCTCCTTAGCGGCATTTCTTTCCTTTCTCCCATTCAGCTTTTTTCTAACCCCAACTTTTCACTGCACTTTCTAGTTTGCATCCATTGTCATTTTTTCCCTATAGCCAGAAGGGTTTATTTCTTTGCTTAGGCAGTTCCCTTCACTGCCTTTTCTGGGATAAATCTCCTTTTCTTTCTGGAGTTTCCTCTGCAACCTCCTGCTGTGACTTTTGTTCAAGAAGCTCTTGCAATTTGCTTTGTTGTTCCACAGTCAGCTTTTTTTGACTTGCTCCTCAACTCACCTTTTCTCTTCTTTTTGAGACTATTCAGAAAATCATATCTTCCCCCTTTCTGATTTATATTCCCCAGAGAGTAATTAAACATGTCCTTCTTTTTAACAGATTCTACCTGTCACAGAAAAGGGACTGGTGGCTTGGCTGAGGTTTCTGAAGTCCTATATTGACTTGGATTCTGCCTCTCTTTTTCTTTCTGTCTTCCTGTCTTCCTGTCTTCCTGTCTTTCTTTCCTCTCCCTCTCTCTTTACACACATAATTCAACTAAAGTCAAATTGCCACACTTGCTTTCTGTTCCCTGCTCATCAATGGAGTTGACTTCTACTAACTCTTTTCTTGAGGAAAGAGCCAAACTCTAAGCAAGCTGACTTTTCCTGATGGTTTCATTCTTATTTCAAATTGACTAGCATCGACCCCCATGCCCCATTATAAGCTGGCAGAAGGCTATCAAAACTAAAAACAAAACAAAAGGAGAAATGTTTCCCCTTTTGCATTTAAGCATGCAAAAAGGGACAAGAAAGGGGAAAGGGAAAGGGAAAGAAAAAGAAAAAAAGATGGGAAGAGAGCAAGGAAGGAAAAATAAGGAAAGAGAGGAAGGAAGAAGAAATTAGAAGGAAGAAGGAAGGAAAAAGAAGACAAGGAAGAAAGGAAGGAAGGAAGGAAGGAAGGAAGGAAGGAAGGAAGGAAGGAAGGGAGGGAGGGAGGAAGGGAGGGAAATGAGAATTAGGAAAAGAATGAGGGAAGTCACGCCTTAGTACTTGGCTACCACAGATGCCCTCCCACACAAGTCTTGTGTCATGGCCACGCCTACCCCAGCTATGTCCACCATGATCATGCCCCCAGCCCTCCAAGGTCAAACACAACCCTGATGCAGCCCTCAATGAAATCGAGTTTGACACCCCCGGTATAGGTAATCCCCAATTTACAATTGTTCATTCAGCTATCACTCAAAGATATAATGGAACTGGAAAAAGTGACTTATGACCAATCCTTGCATTTAAAATTGTTGCAGTGTTCCCATGGTCATGTGACCAAACATTGGAAGGAGGGAGGGAGGGAGGGAAGGAGGAATGAAGAAAAAAAGTAAACAGTAAAAAATAGCAAGTTTCAAACTGCACGTCAGCAAAGTTATACAATATTATATTGGTAAGAAAGACATACAATAACAGGAGCCGCAGCAGGCATTATTCAGGAAAAGCTGGAAAAAAATAGCATGAGGGGAATATTTTTACATCTGAAAAGAAACCAATCAAAATGCACGGCTGGCTTAGAAGTGCAGCAGGAACACTGGAAACACTGTGTTGACAGAAGCAGAAAAACACCACTTTTAAAAAGAACCAGAAAATGAATCTTGAAATCACATTCATGATGGGTAGAAGATGAAGTCAGGACAATGAAATCCATTCCTTCTCTCCAAAAATGATTGCTGGTCCATTCCGGACATGGGTCAAGCTGGCTGTGAGGATAAGTCTTTCATAGCTCCATTTCCTTTTCTATTCTGATTCCTCAAGAGAAGGGTACTCAAAATGGGTTTTTAATTTGCTGTGGCTCTTACGTTTGTAAGTGATCAACAAAAGAAACCATCATATACCAGTAGGTTTATAAAGAGGATTAATAGATCTTCAATTATCTTTTTGAGGCCCAGTTACACAAGCATTTGTAAAGGATGGGGATCATTTAAATTCCATTATAAACCTGATAATGCTAAATTACAAAGGAAGTTCAACAAGCAGAAAATGTTATTATTCATAGTGGAATGACTAATGTGTGCATGTTAACATAAAACATTAATATTCTGATTGGATTATGATGTGGAAATGAGCATAAGGATTTATTAGAATTGGAGCATTTGTTTGCTTTTATTTATAGGCCCTTAAATAATTTAACAAGTACAAATTTCAGAAACTGATGTTCTCTGTTAGATGTCCTTACTGGATGTCAAAACTGCTCTTTATAAATCATTTGCTATCTCCTTGTACAGTACCATTTTATCTAGTAGTTAACTAAATATATAAAAACGTATCCTACCTTTTAAATATCTCTTTCTCTGTTAACATGTCTAAATAACCAAAAGGAGAATCCAAAAGGTACAAATCGGCATCTTTATACACTGCTCTAAATAGATGTCAAAGAAATTTAGTTAGCTGTCATTCAATATATGCTAAAACGTAAATACTGTTTTGATTAATTATTTTGATTTTATTATACTTGAATTATTGTTATATATGATAAAATACATTTAGTCAAAGCAAATTCTTTCATTAAATTAAATAAGAAATAATAGGCAAAATGCAGCAACTGGCAGTTATAAAATTTTAAAATAGAGGAATTATGTAATATTCCATTTTAATCTTATATATCCATTCATCAGAAGTAAGTTCTATTAAACTAAATGGTACAATATTCTGACTTTAGAAATAAAAATATTTAAGATGTATGTAAGGTTACTTCCCCTTAAGAACAGGTGAAATTTAATTCTCTTCATTCAAAACAACATACCATTATTTCTACTCACCTAGCTAAAGAAATTCTGGCTCGTTGACCTCCACTGAGAGTTATTCCACCTTCTCCTAAAACTGTGTCATCTTTCTCTGGAAACTTTGAAATATCCTGTTGAATTATTGTATAAAGATATTAATTTTTCTGTTTTTAAGATATGGCATCCAAAGCAAAACAAATGAATAAGTTTTCATAACAATGCTCTTAGTTTAGGCTAAGAAGATGAATATTATGTTTATCTGACAAGATAAGCTACTTTATATAAAACAGGGAGCAAAACCCCGGATTCAATGATATTACCTAGTTGGATAATAAAACATTTGCAATTAACAACTAAGCTTGGAAAACTCCAAGGACTTCACAGTTCAATGCTGAGCTAAATATATTCTCTTCTTTAGGAAATATTTTTTTCACATAACTGACTGAGGGTCAATGATTAGGAGCCTCTGTGGCGCAGTGGTTAGAGTGCAGTACTGCAAGCTACTTCTGCTGCAGCCAACTGCCTACAATTTGGCAGTTCAAATCCCACCAGGCTCAAGGTTGACTCAGCCTTCCATCCTTCCGAGGTGGGTAAAATGAGAACCCAAATTGTTGGGGGCAATGTGCTGACTCTGCAAACCGCTTAGAGAGGGCTGTAAAGCACTATAAAGCGGTATATAAGTCTAAGTGCTATTGCTATTGCTATTATAATAATTATAAAATACCTAAGAGTAAAACTCACAGACCTTAATAATAAGTCATAAACAACACACAAATAAAAAGTCTAGAAGACCAAAATAAAATGAAGTCATGCATTTTTAAATTATATAGATATAGCAAACTTGGTGGTAATATCCTTGGATGTGCCATAACTATTATTTAGTTAGCAATTGTAAATCTGAACATTATCAGTACAGAGAATTCATTGTTATTTATTTCATTTTTTTCAACATTTATATCACTTCATATTTGCATCAGTCATTAATAAATTACTTGTATTCAAAATTTAGCTAATGGGACTCAACATAGTATTTGATCCTTGAACTTTTTTGAATAGAATAATATTCCAGCCCTATTTTTGGAACCATCTGGAAACTGCTAATTCCTTCCTTTCATTACAAATAATAACTTATTTTTAAACTTTGTTTTCCTGTAATTCAATAATTTCTAAACCAGAGGAAAAAACTCTTCTCCCACAATGCTTAGTTTATTAAATAGGCTTCACCTGATGCTTGGCAGATATTCTTGGCAATATGCTAATGTATAATAGCTAATGAATCATTCCTAAGCACATTCTGTTTGACACTGTCATGGAATCCCAAGGGGCTGATGTACCAGAAACTGCCTTTGAAAAAGTATTGGACTTCTTCTCTGGAACTAATGACAGGATGAATGACTTTCCCTTTAATTACATTTTCTACTGATTTGTGATATTTCCTGAATTCTTTTTGTTTTCTATCTAGCATTACACTGATAACATTTAATGTTCATTTAGTAACAAAGTCAATAATTTTACATGAGGTTCTTTAAGAACAGGCTTGGTTCTTAAAAGGCTGGTTTTAATTAAACTCGAGAAATGTGTCCCCTCTGAAGTTCTGCTACACTGCCTCATATAGTGACAGTATATGTGACTTGTGGGGTGATGGCAGTCATGATGGCAGGACTGTTCCAGAAGGGATGAATGAAAAACAGTGAGAATATATGACAACGAACTTCCAGTAGGGTCATCCAAAGCATGACATTTATCCTAGTTGCCCAGCTAAAACAAACAGGCACTTATAGCAGGCAGAGGTGATACAAGAAGATATGGGTGATAACATCAAAGGCATCATTTCATACTGTGTAGGAGAAGGCAATCATAACTCACCCCCATAAGATAGGAGGAGCCAAACAGGTAGTCGCAATTACAGCAGTGACACTTGAATTGTTGGAAAACCTGAAGGGCCATGTTAGGGACAGATCATCCTGGCCTATATGTGATGACTAAAAGTTAATAAGAGCTTGCTAGTCCATAATCAATGAATCAAATCTGTCAAACAAGAGATGATGATTGATAGATTGATTTGATGAACTGCACAAGCCTGATTATAACTGACCTAGTCTAAGCACTTTCATTTTCAGTAAAACAAGCCAAAAGTTGCCATAATTCTTTCCTTCCACATTCCCATATCTGATTTCTGTAATCTGTTCAATAAAAAAATCAGCACCTGAATTTCAAGACTCTGAGTACACAGTTAAACATTATTGTTTATCAACTGTTAAAGATTCCCAAACCACAATGGATGTTTACCAAAGGTGTGTGAGTAGATCTTTCAATATGACTTTAGTGTTGATCTTAACGTAACACTCTTGCATAATATAAATTAGAGCCATAAATTCTGTTTCACAGAATTGCATTTTAAGGCTATTGCATATTAATAAGACAATGTTATTTAGTTAAAGTTATTTAGTTATTTAGTTAAAAATTTATTATGGCATTTTGTCATCTGAAATATTTGCCTATAATAGTATAATTACTTTGCAAAAATAATATATATTCTGGATCACCCAAAACTATGGTTGCTCACACAACTAAGTTCATAGCAGCCTTCCTGTACTATAAAAAGCATATTTTAATTCAGAATTTTGTTTCTTACAATGGCCAATTAAAAGCCTTGAGATGCTTGTAGGAATATGATGGAGATATAGATCCATTCCCAACATTACATTACAACTGTTTGAAGGGATGTTGTCCCTAATACAGAGGTAACATTAAGTCTTAAGAAGAAATAGTTTTGATAGACCTGAAATTACTTTATACATTTCCTTTGAATGGATTAATATATTTACATTGTGCATAGATTTTTGTCTTATACTAGTGTTTCATGTTTATCTAAGACAAATCTTAAAATAAACAGAAAATACTCCTAAACATCTGTAAACAAGTTGGAATGTCCCATTGTGATAATTCTATTGGGATCAAATATTGTAGGTTATTAAATAGAATTATGTATACATTAAGTAAAAAAAACTATAATTACTAACCAATCAATATATTTTATAAAATGATATTTGAAGCTTACAGATACATCCTTCAGGATTGAACTGGGGCATAAATGAGAATGGTAAACCAATACCATAAACTATAAAGCAGTCTAAAAGGTACAAAGTTAACAGTTAGCAACACACACAAAAATGCAAGATAAAGCTGTAAGCAATTTAATACTCAATTCAATGTGAAAATGATAAAGGGAAAGATAATATGAAAATTCTTGGCAAAGAATAAAGGAAGAGTTTTAAAAACATTAACAGTCTATAGATTAATAGTAAATCTAGGGCTTCAGAGCCATGTGCCCTAAATTGGCTACAGGAAAAATAGGAAGGTGTAGATAAAGCGAATTAAAGAGAAGGAGACAGCGAAATTGCAGGGACTGAGTTCATGACAAAACAATTTTTCAGCATATTTTCTCACAGCAATTTAAACACAGCTTAGACTGTTTTGTCTACGTTTTTTTAAAATCCATATTGAGGTTTTTTTTAAAATCTATATTCAAGAAGCTTTACTCATTAAATATAAAACACCAAAATCACAAATCCACAAGAGTAGTTCCTAACCGTTTGAAAACATGTAACTTACAAGCTATCAAAACTTTTCCTGTGCAAAGCTCAAAAGTTTGCAACTGCTGTAAACTTGGGTTAGCCCAGTGGGACCCTTGTTTACCGGTCATAGATGTATTTTTAACAATCCAGATTCATGTTGAGCACAGCTGCTATTTGTTTTTATTAAATATCTGCATTAGAATAGAAATGCCCTGATTATGAAAATCCCTATATTTCTTGGGTTTAACTGATAAATTAACAGTTCAGACAACTTCTAAGTTGGTAACTTAGAAGTAAGGCCATCTGTATTGACTGTGAGCTAGGAAAAATTCTATTCTATTCTATTCCTCTACCTACTCCATTCCACTCCATTCCAATCATCTTGGATCGGTAACTGTCATTCTGTTTTCTGCCTACATGTAAACCGAAATCCAGCTCACTTGGAATATTTGGATATTGTTTATTATATTCTCATTAGAATCTACATTAATTTAAGTCCCAAGGTTTAAATGTGAATTTATGTTGTCCTTGCTTTTTTCTAGTCCCAGAAACACTTTAAGATGAGCTGGCAAAGAGGGACTTCCAGTTTGTCGGCTTCGGCAGCAGCAGGGATTCGCGATCCTGCGCGATCCCTGTTGCGCTAGCCGTCTTGGTGCCTCCGATCCGGACGGGTTTGGAGGCTAAGGTTGCCCCGTAGAGGCAGCCGAAGATAGGAGGGATCCGGACAGGGGGTTGGGGTTTTTGCAGACCCCTTCCCCACCCGGCTTAACCCTCTTTTCTCAAGGCGGTGGAGCGGCGGTCAGCAATGGCCGCCACAAAGAAGCTGACAGCTGGACAAGATTGTGCTGGAGGAAGAAGGAGAAAGTTCTGAAGCGAAAGTTTTTTGACTGAACTGGGACTATAAGATACAAGTATTATCCTGAAAATCCTGATTTTTTGAAAGATACTTTGTTTCCAGAAGAGATTTACAAGCGGCGAGTGAAATTGCTTAAAGAGAAAGTTTACTCTCCTTCCACATGGATTTAACAAATGGATATTGAAAATCCTGCTATTTTACAGAAGGTAAAAATTTAAAGCTTTCTGTTATAAGTGGGAAGGGAGAGGACAAAAGGAAATTTTTTATTAAGATTTTGTTGGAGGAGATGCCTGGAAGATTTTGAGATTGGAAGTTAATTGCAATAAGACTTTAAAATACAGATTGGGTGTTTTTTTTTCCCTTGCCAATTGATATTACGCCAGGAAGAAAAAGTGTGAAGAACTTTGTGCTCTGTTTGGATTGTTTGATGACTTTGGGATTTTGGGGAATTGTTTCAAGCTTTGAATTATCTTGGTTGTTTTAAGAAGAAGAAGAAGAGAGAAAAAAAAGAAGAAAAGGTTTATAATGGCTTTATCTGTTGATGAACTAAGAGAGGAATATGGTAAAATAAAAAAAGAAGGTAAAGACGGTGTGAGAGAAATTTTTCGCTTTTTAGAAATGGCGCTTGCCACTTATCAACAAACACAGCAATTAATGGAGGAGGAGGAGGAGGAGGAGGAGGAGGAGGAAGAAGAAGAAGAAGAAGAAGAAGAAGAAGAAGAAGAAGAAGAAGA